ATCATATTTCGCAGGTCCGAATATTATTGGGCGGTTCATTACAACCAACCTCCAGAGAAAAGGTTGAGTAAAACACACACAATATATATATATATAAGTTGAAACCACTAGAAAGCGCACACGATCGAGGGATGCATTGATGATATACTCGACGATATAACGCAAAGCACCAATAACAGGCATATTTCCACGCTAGACGGACCAGCCAACGTACCACGGAAGGGCATCCAAAGCGAGGTGGAAGCTGTGTTGCCAATATGGCGCCGACGGAGTGCCGTCGGACAAGTTGTCGTCGTCGGAAGTGCCCTGCAGAGCATCGGGCACGTGGTCGGCCAGCGCCTTTCGGGCGACGTGAAGCGGGGCCTCGAGGAGCGCCGACAAGCCATGCACCACGTCTGCCGCACACCACTGGTACTTGAACTCTAATCACGAAAACAATAGCGTCAGTTATACCGTTTATATATTTCGACGTTTTGGAGTAAAACACGAAAAAAGTGTGAAAAATGCATGGAAATTCAGAATAATAGTACCAAATTGTCGTCGAAACGACCCGTAGAAGAGCTCGTCAAGGCCAAACTCGGGCGCGATATCACGGCATTTCTCGCGCAGCGTTTGCTTGAGGTCACGCGACATGAACGTAAAGCTACAAATATATCAAAAATAATAGTATTTTTTTTTTCTGATTCCAAATAGAATAGAAATGTATACACCCAAAGCATGACCATGGTATTGTACCAAGAATTTATATAGTACTACGTAGTATTATTGTTCCACATAGAATACATATCAAAAAGAATAGTATTATTATTTTTCTGATTCCAAATAGAATAGAATTGTATGCACCCAAAGCATGACCATGGTATTGTGCCAAGAATTTATACAGTATTATAGTTCCACATAGAATACATAAATACATATAGAACCAATCCATATGACAATGAAAAACGTCATGCTAGAAATAAATAAAAAAAATGTATATATCATTACTATTATTCCAAATCGAATATAAATGTATTTCCCCAAAGAATGACACTACAAAATAGAATAGTATTCCAAATAGAATATATATATATATATACCCAAACAATACGAGAATGGTGTACCTTTGCTGGCATTCTTTGAGACTAAGCCCCATGCGAGCCAAAAACACTTCGAGTTCGTCTTTGCCTACAAAAGTATCACAAGCATTAAACGGTAGAAGAATCATGGATTTTTGCCTGTTGTTGTATAGTAGTAGTACGAACCGGGTGCAAACGAATTAATATTCTATTAAATAAATATACTCTATATATATATATATATGCAAAGGAATGGATAGAAGAATCATGGACGCAAACTCCATGATGGCCTGTTGTATAGTAGTAGTACGAACCGGGTGCAAACGAATTAATATCCAATATACTCTATATATATATGCAAAGGAATGGATATTATATATATATATATATAATTTCAGCGTACCAGCAGATTGCCACGTCTTGAGCTTGGCTGCGACGTAGTTGGAATAGTACATGGACTGGTACAGTGACCAGTGTCTGTACAGCATGAATCGGTACTCTTCTTCAAATGCAATGGCCCCACTTTGCACTGTCGTGGTCGGTCACGAAGGATGACGTGATCAAAAACAAATCGAGATACCGTGTCACATATATATCGTACCAGTGGGCAACACAGTTCCGTCCACGTCATGCACGACGTCGTTGCTGCCGCCGTTGCTGGGCAACGCCAGCACTTCGTCCTGGAACTTTTGCACGAGCATGTTGTAGTTGTCGGCGTCGATCTGCTGGGCCACAAATTGCTTGGTGAGCCCGACGATGGCCAGCCAGACCTTGTCTGCCGTGGCCATATTGAGCTGGCTCGCCAGTTCAAACGTCAGCGTGGCCGCGGGAGCTCCATGAAACGTTCCGCGGTAGTACTGCAAAATGTCCAGGCGTCGCTTTCTACGATATAAACGTCAACAAGGGGTTGATGATCACGTCATGGTATGTCATAATGACATGTTCAAACCATACCGCTTGGACGGGAGCTTGTCGGATGTGATAGCGGTGGCGGGCGGCGGCACTTGCTCGGCATCCGGTTCGCCGTCCCCCGAGTTGTCTTGTGTTGCATCCTCCTCCGAGCCATCCCCGTCTGAACGAACTACGTCATCGTCACCATTGTCGTCTCCATTGTCGTCACCATTGTCGTCTCCATTGTCGTCACCATTGTCGTCACCATTGTCGTCACCATTGTCGTCACCATTGTCGTCACCATTGTCGTCACCATTGTCGTCGCTTGTAAGAGACCCGGTGGAATCGGTACGTTTGCGCTTTCCGTTCGTGGCGGTCGTGTCTACGAGATCCGCTTCGGTCTCACTGTCATCGTCGTCGTCACTGTCGTGGTCTCGTTCGTTGTCGCTGTCGTCGTCCTCTTCTAGCTCTATCGCGGCAATGTCCGAGCCGTCGTCGGGGAAGTCGTCCTCCGCTTGACCTTCGTCGTCGAATAGCACGACCGTGCCATGTCGGTCGTACACGTTGGCCAAATGCAGCGGGCGGTGGCTGTCGATCACGTACACCTTTTGGTCCGTGAGCTTGAGTGTGCTGTAGACGTCGATCATGGCGCCGCAGTTGATGAGAAAGATGGACCGGATCTCGCTCGAGAACGTCATGGCCGCCATTTGCTTGTACCCTGCCACGGGCACCATGGAGTACGCGACCAATTCCGCTTGAAGCAACGAGGTCAAGATGGACACGGCGGCGATCGAGTCCACGTCCAACGCCACCAGCAGAAGCACGCTGGCGCCATGTGTGTCTATGGCATCGCTCACGACTTGCTTGAACGCGACGCGGAAGTGTTCCCGCGGCCACAGCATGTCAACGAGGAGTTACTTCGGTACTTGCGAGAGAGGCAAAGGGCACGTTGGCGGGCAGCTCGCTGATTGGCCATTGCATCCGCGAATCAAATTGCAGTATTAAGTGATAGAGGTAAATCATCTCAGACGATCGATGGATCCTTTGGATACAGTACACACTGAAATCAAAATCTGTTATATTCACAGGTTATCCATTGTTAAAGGTGATTTTGAACGACCACACAGCAATCCAAAATAGTCCTACGAGGTACATCAAAGTCACGAATGAACATACGAATGGGACTGTGTGATATTACTATCCGAGATAACTTTCAACCGGGTATTCAGTGGATCGTACTAACATCAGCTCCTCTGAATGCTACAAGTACGGAACGTGACTGTAACAGACCAAATATGCACCTGAAATTCAATTAATTTGATTATAGAGGTTATACAAACAAACAACGCTTGAAGTTGCACCAACCACAGCGCGCCAAATGTGCTTCGAACTTCGAAGTAGGCATTTTGACACCACCGCCGCCATTCCACATGAGCCGTGCCGGTCCTAACGCGTCGGCCGTCGGCGATGTCATCGATGACCTGCGAGAGTCCACGCCTTCCTTTCCCCTCGACGGAAGCGACGTGACGATCCTGCATTCTCCGAGCGACTTCTACAACCAACTGCTGCACAACATCCGACACGCCACGACGCGCATCTCGATCTCGTCGCTGTACATTGGCAACGACGCGCTCAGTCGCGAGCTGGTGCAAGCATTGCACGACGCGTGCAAGGCAACTCCGTCCCTCGAGGTCTCCATCGTCCTCGACTACTCCCGCGGCCAACGCGGCGGTCCCACGAGTTCCGTAGCCGTGCTCACACCGCTCCTCGATGCATTTCCGTCGAACGTGTCGTTGCATTTGTATCGCGTGCCCCAACTAGACCGATGGGGGTTCCTGCCGCCACCCTTTGACGAAACCATCGGCGTATCCCACACCAAAGTGTACCTGTGCGACGACACCCTCATCATGAGTGGCGCCAATCTCAGCGGCGACTACTTCACCCAGCGACAAGACCGGTACATTCAAATGCACAATGCAGATCTCGCAGGCTTTTACCACACATTTGTCAAGGTACACCCCAACACTTATCGTCACCGTGTTGTCACCATGTCATGACCAACGAACCGCAGATTGTCACCGATCATGCGCATCACGTCCAGCTCGTTCCTTCCGCCACGGCATCCGTCTCTTCGAACCATACGACACCTTCCGAGGACCGATCTCCATTGACGACGTCGGTGGTGCCTCCAGCGACATCCCATGTGGACTTCGCGTCGGCGCTCCTTTCTCTCCAGGACTATCAACCCACAACGCCGAGATGGACCACTACGACCATGGCCATTCCGACCATTCAGTTCTCGCCGCTGGATATCCTCCATGACGAAGACACGCTGTCCCATGTCCTGCACCGCTTGCCCGCCTCAAGCCGGATCGATATTGCATCCGGATACCTGAACTTTCCGCCTTTTCTTATCCGGTTGTTGGCGGACCGAGCGTTTCATTTGGACGTGGTCACCGCCGCGCCGTCTGCGAACGGCTTCTTCAACGGCAATGGCATCAAAGGTACGACATGAGAATGGACGTCCCGCGTCTCATTGTGGTGGGCTGGTATTGATGTGTGGGATGCTGATGTTGTTGTGCTGGGGTGTGTAGGAGCGTTGCCGATGGCATACTCGCTCATCGAAGCGGAATTCTACGACCGATTCGCCACCTCCCAACTCACATTGCGGGAATTCAATCGCGACGGATGGACATTTCATGCCAAGGGCATGTGGATCCAACACCAGGACGAGGCGTTGACGGTCGTGGGAAGCTCCAACTTTGGCCAGCGGTCGTACGGTCGTGACCTGGAATCTCAAGTACGTAGACATGCACTTGACGACAAATATGCTGATCATAACTGACGGAACTCTCTGTCCGCAGGTGTTTCTGTACACAACGGACGCAACCCTCCAGTCCAAGTTGAAGGACGAGTACTCCCGCCTCACGCAGCACAGCGAGCCGGTGACGGCGGCGTTGTGGAAGCGGCCAGAGCGGCAGCTCCAAGGGCTGCTCAACTGGAAGTCTGGGCACTGGATACGGCCCGCAATGCGGGCCGTCAAGTCGTTCTTGTAGCATCTCGTTCAAAGCTTACAGTAACCGGAAAAAGAATGCAAAATTGTTTTGGCAGAGCCAGTTAGTTGCGTTGAGCGTTCGGAAATTGGCCGACATGTAATAACCTTTGAAAACAAATACTGGTGAAGGAACCAGCTGTGTATCGGATTACACTCGTGGAGATTTGACACCAAATCACCTGTGTCATTTTATAAACTTAATATATAAAAGGTAATTAGATGTGGTAGGTATTATTACATACACACCATTTTGAGGCATAGGCGGCATCGGTCGACATGGCGTACTACGAGCCAAACCAGCAACAACAGCAGCGCGACCCGTACTCGCAGGTCGACCAAGATGGGGACCTGGACGAGATCTATGCCGGCGCAAAACGCATAAACCAGAACGCTCGGGCCATCAACGGGGAAGTGGTGAGTCAGAACCATCTTCTCGACCACCTTGGCGACGACATCGAGGGAGGGACGTCGGCACTGCGAGCTCAGACGGCCAAGGCGGAGTTGGTCAACAAACGAAAGAAGAAGGTACACACCTCCATCAACTTCAGATCCTGACTTGACATTTCTTCTGCTGTAGCTCTGCAAGTTGTACGTGGCCATTGCCGCGTTGACCGTCATCTTGGTCTTGGTTTCAGCTTTCGTCCCGAACTTTGGATGATAACAAAAGCAATCGTATATATTTACATCGTCAATACACTGTAAGTTTGTGTGCTGGAATGGTTGTTCCCTGCCACGAATTTGGCTACCCCTTCAGTCAACTGCCCCATGGTATATATGGAGACAGACTGCATGCATCATGACAACATGACGAGTGCCAATGGTCATCTTGCGTAGTACAACGGCATGTCCGCGTAACGTGAACCATATCAAAGTTCCCATCATCATGTGTTATTGGTCGACGCACTGATCGAAGTCCATCCCTTGTTCTAATCGACGATTCGCTTTGTCACAGTGCACGTAAGCACCGTACACAACTATGTACTGTAGTACGATTGTAATTGTAAGGACAGTGTTGAGGCACTTGTGTTGGGATTTCCAAGGGCGAGGCGGGTTTGGCAACGTGAACCTTCGCTGGAAACCTGTAGAAGCAACCGGTTGCAAGATACATATCACGACAACTCATGCACTAATCTCCTCGTAAGGCTTGTATTCGATTAGGTATGACTACATTGGGATGGCCCAGGTTGGGCAAGGTCGTGAGTCCGTCCTTCCAACTCATTTCTTGGCAGCGTTGGCCTACGATACACCCATGCCAATTAGTGATGAATCCATGCATCCTCAACAACGCACCGCTGCACGCTGAAAGCATTGTCGCAGCTTGGCAAACTCCGCCGCGCACACGTTCTTGTTGACGCCGCCTTCAATATTGGCCACGCAAGCTCCGTACACTTGGATCTATGCAATCGCAGTCATCACCCTACATATTATCCATGCCTCATGCAATGAATCGTACATCCACTGGGCACGATCCCATCATCTGCGTGAAGAGTTGGCTCATCCGCCGGGACCCTGTGGTCGCCGTCCCAGGCATGCTGAGTTTGTGTGTTTGGAGCGACTCCTTATCCGGACGATAAGTTATCCGGAATGACCTGTTATCCGGACATTTCCTCCACTCGTTCGTTGTTCGGTGGCATTCCTGCTAGCAACTTCATCATCATGCTGTCAGCACTTGCCCGTCGCGCGATTCCTCACGCTACATCTGCTGTGAGACGCCACAACGTAACCATTCGATGCTTCTCAGACAACCTTGACCACTTGAAGATATCGGAAGTGCAAGAGAGCCGAGTCCAGGAGCGCTATGTGCAGATGCGCAAGGAGCATTTCGGTCGACGAGAAGAATTTCCTGCCTCGAGGTGCGCCGCAATCGTCAACGACGTTGTTGGAATAATGGGTGATGCTGATGGTTCGTTTCGTAGCCAAGGGGATATCGACATTGATGCAGATACCGCGAACCGCAAGCGCGTGATCTACCGCAGCAAGCAGCGTGGATGGTGCGAACCACCATTCTCGCTCGGAGAGACTCACATGGACATGTAGGTTGGAAGTGGACTTGCTCATGGGACGCTGGGCCAGCGAGAACGTGTGGACGTTGACGGCGGACGAATTGCAGCAATACGAAGACATTTTGAACCGCGAAACGATCGACATTTTCAACTTTATTTCAGGCAAAGACGCCATTCCAGAGGTATTTATTTGTTTTAAAAAATTGCAGATATATAAATATACATATATATATATATATTATTTGTTGAATATGTATTTCGTCGTAGGAAGTCAACACCCCCGTGATGAAGCGCATTCAGGACTTTTGCTTTTCCAACCCACTGGGCAAAGCATCCATCCAAGGGTTCTTGGACAACAAGAAGCACATGAGCAACTAAACGCGTTTCCATCTACTACCCTCGTACTACAATAATAGCACTAGTAGGCTTTCGTACTAACTACAAACACTTGCACTCGGACTATCCTATTGATAGTAGTACTACAATAAGAGCGCTAGTAGGCTTTCGTACTAAATACTCCTGTAGTACGACAATAAGAGCGCTATTATCAATAATAGTAAGCTTTCGTATTAACTGTAGATACAAACACTTGCACTCTCCAACTCACTTCTTCATGCACTGGTATGTAGTATGCACAACATGTAGTAAAACTTGCGCTATCGTTCTTACGCGAGGAAATAGGATGCATATGCACGGCCATCCTTCCAATGTACGTACTTTTCATCCAAATTTTTGGCCTTGTGCTTAACAGTTAATTTACCAAGTCGCATGACATTGGACAAACTATGTATTAATACTATATACGTATTAATAGTACTATTATTTTTACGGCTGGTCTGGATGTCATCTCATAAATTGATGCTAACGTAAATGGCCAATTTATGGTGCACTTGAAAGTGACCTCGTCGTAGAATGCACCTTATTCGGCTCTTAGGACCGTGATTTCAATTCTGAGAAGTGCTGCGTGAAGCCGAAAGTTTGGGCATTCTTCTGCTTATTTAATCGGCTTGAATCGCTTCAGCTTAGCGTTCATTTACTTCGATTTCCACGGAAATCAAGGCAAAATAGGTGGGACGGTTTATGGTGCACGGTTTAAGCTTAAAATATGTATGCTGTTTTTGCTTATTTTTTGGTGATCTCATTTTTCTAGTGATTTGATTGGCTATTCCAAAAATCAAGCAATTCCATTGGCCATTTTGAGTGCACCTTAAACTGTCCCGTGCACCATAAACAGGCCGTCTACGTTATAAACCGTTTTGGCAAGTCTGCAATTCTTTTTTCCCAAAAAAAGTATTTATAAAGTTGTCTGGATACCACCTGAATTGTCGTGGAAAAATAATTTGATTTCGATTGATAGTGAGATGACGTGGAAGACTGTCAACATGAGCACAAACACCTGAACAAGCCAAACCTGTGGCATTTAATACAATCCCTCTTTCACCATAAAAACAACCAAATCGGTCCATTTTTATGCCATAAAACACTCGATTCTCATGAAAATTACGGCATTATTTCTTTGATGTACGTACTGTACAATGTATTTGTACATTGTACGTTCTACGTACATTTTCAACGCATGCGATTGGATGACGAGTCGTGGTTGATGCGAATGACAGTGCAAAGTCATCATCTCGTTCTTGCGATACATACAATTTTACTTTTCTTCAGCCGACACCGCAGAGAGAGATGACACATACCGCGACTCCCATATACGCCCCAGCTCTGTGCACCATGTCCGTTGGCGGCTATGCGTACTGTACGATCAGAATGCATGGCAAGGACATGACCTCATATCGTTTTGCAGATAGGGATACACAGCGGGCATTTGCCAGTCAAGGAGTGTTGACGTTGCGAGCCCGCAAGTCTGCCGCAAGCACGGGTCTTTTGCTAGGCGCTGCTGTTGGAGTGTAAGTCCTTGTTGTCGGGATGGAAAAACGTCAGTCAACATGTATTGATGAACGTTACTGTAGCTACATGTTTACCTTTATGGACTGGCGAAGAAAGCAGCGCGACCTACTCCAACTAAACGCGACGTCCAAAACGTTGTGAATAATAGAGCCTTACATTCCAATAGCCTATAAATTGCGACTCCGTAGTACAGTCCACTCGATTTAGGTGCACCAGACTGAGCGTACTACATCCTGCCTCGATAGACGTATCACCAGACTGTACTATATCCTGCTAACGCTATCAAGCAATGTACATGCATCTGCATAACGTTAAGAGTTCCTTTATGGAGACCTTAGCCTCAGCCAAGTCAAGTTCCTCTACGTAGTACGTACTAACTGTTACGAGTAAGTTTAGTATGTAGTAACGGCGGCCATAATCCATGCCCTTCTAAAATACATACGTTTGAAAATCATGTCTTAGAGTCCCCCTTGCATTTAATTTCAATTTCCATTCGCCATCAACATGGGTCGACGCGAAGTGTGGGCATCCTATGACGACGACGCCACGCCCGTAGTTGCCAAGTCAACCACCACCACCTCTGCCGAAGCGGTGCAACCTCGGAAACCTTTCAACTTGGAGCTGCTTCGAAACAAAGTGATCTTTGGTGGCCTCGTCGGCTCGACGACGGGCGCAACGTTTGGTTTTGGTGCGTGCCTCGTATGCGTGTCTGCATCACTGACGTAGTACTACTGGGACGACTATGCTATAGTCGGAGCTTTCCAGAATCACCACACCAAGCATGGCAGCGTCAATTCCCAAGCTCTTCTTGGCGCCGCACGCACAGCCGGCACCACTGGCGCAGTGTTTGGCGCGTACGTTGGTTCAATCCGTCGCCGTAGTCCAAAGCTCATGTGTTGTGCAATGTGTTGTAGGTTCTTCTTGGCGTACCAAGGACTCAAGACAACGATCGAGCAGCTCCGTGGGGATGAGGACTTTTTGAACGCCGGCGCGGCCGTCGCCGTCGCCGGACTGCCCTTTTACCGCACCATCACGTTCCGGTCGCACATGGGGTATGCAGGTCTTCTCGTCGCGTTGGATTACTTTCACGACGAAATGAACAACTTTCGCAAATAACATCGCTCCAGCCTACACAGTTCGTTCAGCTCGTTCCCATCGCAATGCTCCCGCCCACATTGCCCTTGAAGTGCACAGTGCACTCGTGTCATGGTGACATGTCCGAGCGATGATTTCAATAGGCATCGTATATCTACCTAGCTTTCATCCACGGTCATCATTCCATGTGTTCATCGCATAAACTCCATTTGACACAAAAGCAAAGACTTGATTCTAAAATATATGTTTAAAAGTCCATTTATCCAGTATATATATATATATTAGGGTGTATTAGGATATATATATATGTTAGGGTATATTTGGATAATATATATATGGGTATAATATAGTGTGCGGCGGTAAAACGTAACCAACTCAAACCTAACTCCATTTATCCAGTACACATATATATATATATATTAGGGTATATTTGGATATATATATATATGTTAGGGTATATTTGGATATATATATATGTTAGGGTATATTTGGATATATATATATATATATATATATATATATGTTAGGGTATATTTGGATATATATATATATGTTAGGTTATATTTGGATATATATATATATATGGGTATAATATAGTGTGCGGCGGTAAAACGATACCAACTTAAACCTAACAATCATCGCACACGTTTTGACGTAATAATATATGCATACCCCCACAACATTGACGAGTTTATTACTAACGTTACTACAGTACTACTATGCTTCTCGAGCTGCTTGAAAGAGCGACGGGAGGCCGCCGCCGCCTCGTCCATGGAACGGCACGGTCCGTCGAGTGGCAGTCGATATGACGGTTGTACCTGGTCCTCCTTCTAGTTCTTCGAGGCAGCTCAGGTCTTGTTCTACTTTGCGGGGGATCGTCACTGAAGATGGGCTCGACGGGGTGCTGCTGCTGCTACTCGAACGATCATTGTCACCATCATTGTCATCATTGTCGTCATCGCTGTGGTCGGCCTTCTTTCGATCGTATCCCCGCGCTTTGCGGCTCTTTCCGTTGGGATTTTGAATCACATCGCTGAGTTCCTTGCGGAGGTTTGCAATGTGCACATGGAACCGACTGCGCTCGCTGCTGCTGTCGACACTTTCCGCGACTACCTGGAGCGACGTGATCCGGTTCACGAGACTGCGGATACGCCGGTGGGGCCATCGACAAAGCCCGTTCTTGCGGCAGATCTTCTTCATGAGCGTGATGCACACGCCGAGCTCTTTGGCCACGGCCGCCATGGGTTTGTTGAAGTGCGGACGGAGTTCGTTCAACGACACGTCCTTGATGTTGAGGCCCGCGCGATGGGGTACTACGGGGGGCAGCATGAACTGAAGGATCAACTGGCTGGCGTCGAGCGATGTTGACAAAGGGGACGTCGTGGTCGAGCGCTTTGGACGAACGAGGTTGGGGTGGGGGAATGATGGAGGGGGGGGCGGCATGGACGCTCGTGGCGACGACATGGGACGACGCATGACCGAGGATGTCGACGAAGAAGACGCGTGGACGACGGCGGCGTCGAACACGGTCGACTTTTTCTCGACAAGGTACGCGTGTTGCATGGACGCATGGGATTCTTCTTGGTGACGGAGGCGTTCGAGGTCTTCCTCGGCCAACATGCGGTGGTAGTTGAGGTGCACGAGGTTGCGGCGCATCGCGTCCTCTCGTTCCTGCTCTTCTCGTCGTTGTTGCATGAACAGTTCCTGGAGATGGTGCTGCGGCGCACCTTTTCGGGAAGGTCCCGACAAGGAAAACTGATGGCGGTTGGCAGCGGAGGCGGCCACAGCCGCAGCGGCGCGACGACGGATTGCTTGTTGCTTTTCCTTGAGCGCGATGATCTGTCGTTGTCGGCGCATAAGTTCTTGTTCCTGTGCTTTCCACAATAAATGTTGCGCTTGCTTTTCGTGCAGGGGGGTGTGCTGTTGATGGTGGTGCCGGAGAAGCAGCGACGGCAGCGCAGGTGCAGCCGCCGCATCATGCGGTTGAAAGGACATGTTGAACGACGAGTGCGTTGCAGGCGGCGGTTCAATGCGGGGAAATGTCGCGCGGGTTACGTCTGCCGGTGACGTCGGCGACAGCCGTTCGTTCTTGATGGACACGGGCTCCATCACCGCCGTGGCGATGCACGCGAGATGGCGCATCCGTTCCATGTCGACTTGATAAAGTCCGTCCATCTTGGTCGTCGTCTGTGCTCGAAGAATGCAAAATGAGAACGACCGTTCGCTTGCACATCAAAGGGCGGACGGTTGCAATCTTCGCGCAGATCTTGTCTTGCTGGTCTCTGATTGGTCGAAAACGAAAGTGACGGCGTTTCATTGGTCCATGTCAGATCCCACGATGCCCAGGTCGTAACCGCCCGGAAATTTCGAAAGGTCAGCCAGCCTTTCAGCCCCTCGGGTCTGCCCTTTCAGCCCCATTATGGACGACGACGACCCACGGTAATGTATGCATCTCCAGCGCCGCCGCCATCGTGGCCTAGGCTACGTGCATCTTCCCAATGTATCCCATACATCCCAACACGAGCACGAACATACAGTATCGTCCCAACTGCTATCCAACCTCTGGGTGCTTGAGCTTGGACGCTCAGCATGCTTAGAGCCCTTCAACGCAACTTGGACCAACGTTGCGGCGGTTGCCAATGGATGATACCGATGCAGACGGGGGAGATCTCAATGTAATCGCATTCCCTAAAGCTCAAGGACCGTGGGGACAACACGTCACCCGCTGCAGTGTGCCTTGAGGCGTCCGGATATTTGACTTATCCGGATGCCCATTCATTGGGAGTTGCTACACTCCAATCGACCATCTTCCATTACCGTGCTGTCAACATGTTTGCCGTGAAGAAGAAGGCCCAAGTGGACAAGAGCAAGGCCCGACGAGCGTTGCTGTGGGAAGTGGCGCAGTTCGGTGCGTTCATCGCGGTCGTCCGTGCTGCGACGTTGCTGATCAACAGCGGCGCCGACGTCTAATCCAACCTCGATCTTGCCATCCATTGCAACCACCTCTTATCAATTACAACCCCCTCTAACGTCCAAACACGAACGTCGCTCTCCCTTACGTCATCTCCATCGATTCTCCCCCTTTAGTCTCGCTCGATTGCATATAGGTGGTGTATATTAATCTCTACTTCTGTGTGTGTTGTTTCCTACTCCATCGCGTCGTCGTCCTCGTCATCTTCCTCGTCCTCTTCCTCGCGCAGCTCGTCGTCGACGGCATTCAACGACTCGACGGCGACGTCGCACTTGGCCACGAGCACCTTGATGGCTTCCGGGAGCAAATCTTCGGGTCGGAGCATGCCCACGGTCTCGACGGAAAAGATAAAGTGGTCCGACACGCGGCCCAACTTGACTTTGTCGCTCCACCCCGGGGCCCGGATGCATTCGCGGCACATGGTGCAGTTCCGAGGCCGCGCCGCCACCGCCGCAAGGTCCTCAATGTCAAACACGTTCATGGGGCAGGTCTTCTGGAGCGTCTTGGCGTCGGCGCCGACAACGGGGGCTGGGAATGAGATCTCGGGCAGCAAGCGGTACGACGCGGTGGCGACCGGTGAGAACTTGGCGTGGTCCTTACCGACTCCCTTGCGGCAATGCGCTTCCAGGGCGATGGTCTGGCCCGGTCGAAGCTTGGCGATCAAGATGTCTTCAGACACGGGGCGGATGGACCCAAAACGTTCTTCTTGAAGCCCTTGAGGTACCCACTCAAGATGGCGGGAATACACGGACGCGTTGGTGGCTTTCGAGATGTCGGCGGGGTCGTTCGGATCGGCCGTGCATGTCACGTCGAGTTTGAACACGAGGGTGTTCTCGTCCGTGGCTTCGCCTTCTTCGTGCTCTACGTACGATACATGGACATATGAGGAAACATGCTGCGGACGACGACGACGACGATGATGGAACACGAGATACATGACAATAGGTGTAGTGTATATGTAGGATGGTCGTCTCTATACCAGGGAACGACTGAAACTCGCGCGGGTCCACTTGCAACGGAATCAACCCGAGGCGATGCGCCAACACTTCGTCCTGGATGATCGACGAGTTGTTCCACAGGTACACGTGCTCGATGGCCATGGTAGGGACTTCGGCCAACAAGATGCGGCGGAACGCATTTGCAATCGACGCGTCGATGCCCACCAAGTCAAACACAATGTCCTCGTCGCTCAGGCTTTGAATCTTCACCTTAAAGTGCTTCTTGAAGTTGTCCACGAACGCGTGGCTTGACTCGCATTCCGTGTCTGGCTACGATCCCATGTGAGTCGTTTCCCTGCATAAGTTACATGGAAACCGTCATGTCTTCTTCTCCTTCTTACCACGTGGGGAGCATCAAGCCCGACGCTGATGATCTTCTTGACCATGATGGATGGGATGGAGGATTATATTGGTGGATCTGCCGCTTTACTCGATTTCGTCCTTGCCATTCATTGGCTCTCGCCAATGGAATGAATTTATTGGCTGCCGTTTCGACCCAAAAGTACGCGTTTCGATCGCGTTCGATATGTTTAAAATGATGATACCTCAGTATCGCCATACAATGGCATCTCTCATGCAACGGGTATTGACTAAGCAATCTCTTCATGAAAGCACACCATTGGGATTTCATGACCCTCACGTTTTTTTCGTATATGGAGATATCGATCGCCACCTCGTTCCATGCATTGGATTTTGAGTAGGTTGAAGGTTTAAAACGTTTAAAACGTTTAGAAAACGTCAGTCAAACGTTTCGTTACGTTCTGAACGTGTTAAGTACGATCGATTGGAACAGCAGCCGCCGATTATTTCCATATCAACATGAGCGTTCGTCTGGGGTCCAAGGCCGACGTCGTCAAGACACTGCGCACACTGCTTCGGTTGAACCGTACTACCACCACGAACAAGAAGGCATGGTCGGACGTCATCCTTGAAAAGGTACCATCCATATCACGTCCATGCATATCGATCCCATGCTAACACGACGCCGCATCGGCTGCATCAGTTCCGTGAGCGTCAACACGAGACAGATCGCACCAAGATCAAGGCATATCGTGCGGAAGCGACAGACTTTCTTCATCTGTGGACAGGTGTCGAGGAGCAAAAGGTATTTTGTGCTCTCCATCTCATGCCTTCGTTCATCGATATCATCGTCCTCTTCACTCTCACGCATGCATGCATCCCTCTCGTCATCATAGCGCCTTTGGAACATGGATGCGGGCATTGAAAAGCGCATGAAGAATGCCGACATTGTGAAAAAGTCGGCGCGGCTCGTGGGGTTGCAAGTGCCCGACATGTACACGGACAAGGAAGAGAACAAGCTTTAACTGTACCTACTGCTAACACGACCACCTTTTTGTGCTGTGCTGTACCCATCCAACCTGTTGCAAATAGTGTGAAACGACATAGCATTCCAAAAAGCCAACCCAAAAATAGTGTGAAACGACATACATGTAGCCCTCAAAAAAGCCGCCAACCTGTCAGAGCTGTTGCAAATAGTGTGAAACGACATAGCATTCCAAAAAGCCAACCCAAAAATAGTGTGAAACGACCCCTCAAAAAAGCCGCCAATTCGTTCTAGTAGTGTTGCTATTCCATTAACTACTAACACGTCCATACTTATCCGTCTTCGTCGCCAATGACCGACTGACCTAACTGTTACTCGTTCTCGTCTCCGTCGGCGGGATCGATCACGACGCTTCCATTGCGCAAGTCCTGCACGAGCAGCCGCGTGTACTTGCCATTCTCTTTGAGCACAAAGATCTCGGCCGACGTCAAGTCGCACACGATCGCGTTGTACTCAACGACGGGGGCTTCATTCGGTAGTTGTTGCTCCGTTGCTGACGAAGTTGCTGGAGGCACGACAAACTTGGTGACGTGAATGTGGTCGTCTTCTTGGAGCACCATATCCCGATACAGTACCTTGCCCCGCACAAACCGAGCAAACACACTGGTTTGGTCCGCCACGGGACTAGTACTACTAGCTTTCCGACGCCGCACGGCTTCCTCCGCCTCGTCAAACGTTCGTTCCAATGACTCCATGAGTTCCACGTCGTCGGCGATCTCGGTTGCCGACAACGTCTTGTGCAGCGGTGTGAACACGGTCGTGAGTCGCTTGGCGGCAGGACGTGCCCAATCTTCGGCAAAGCCCAATGACGCCAGGCTCCGCGCCGTGGGTTTCTTGCTACTTCGGGTCTTGCGCATGTTGGTTTGTCGCTGGAGCGCCAGCGCGGCCTTGTTGTACGAGGCCGACCCAACCCCCGATCGTTTCTGCTCCTTCACGCGCTCCATCTCCAAGCGAATCTCTTCCAACATGTCGTGCTTGAGCTTGGAGCAACTCAACTCGTACTCCTTTTCCGCTTCTTCACACTCGTACACGTAGATCACGTTGGCGCTGTTCATCAAGTGCGCCGACATCGTTTCCGCCTTGGCGATCGCCCGCACGCGCTCCGAAGCCAACGGCACCAACCGAGACACAAGGTCCTCGTGCGTGTCTGCTTCAAGCAGCACCAGGGATTGCTGCAACATCGCTTGCTCTGCGAGCAGCTTCTGTCGTTTGCTGGCTACATGTGCACTCGGCCCCATGGTCGGTGAGTCTGGTTTGTACGACGTTGTTCAAAAAAGGGTTACCGAGTTCATTATCCGGAACCCCCATCTTTATCCGTTTTCCGGATATTGGACTTTGAAGCGATCCAAATATCCGGATAATGCTCGCAGTAGACAGACATTTAGGCATGGAGCGGCGCTCCATGGACCCTCTTGCTTCTGCTCCATGCCCCGATGGGGGAAATGAAGACGTCAAGATACATGATGATCATGCGTTCGTAGTGGGCTAATGCTTGATGGAGATGTTATTGTGGTCGCCTGGGCACAGGAAAGTTCTCGTCTAAGAGGAAACCGAACCTGTCGCAGAGGCCAACTGGTGCGTTGCTCCACTTAAGCGCAACTACATGCATGAACTCGACCGAGTAGTTACTGTATACCGCGGTGCAGCACATGCGATCGCAGCAAGCCTCTTTGCAAGCTGAAAGCGACGTGCGACGGTTCATGTCGGCCGGATATGTTATTCGACGGTTACAGTGTGTATCCATTTATTTCACATTTGAATTCTTATCGCGGCGAACATGAAGCACGAGAACAAATGGGGACTGGAAGATCTGGATGAGACGCCATACAAGGCCGCGGGGTCCCCTCGGCACGCTGCGATGACGATCGAGGAGCAGCAAACCAAGCATGTACTAACGTTACCATCGCGAAGCGCCATGGATTTTGGCATCATCGTGCAACTTCATGCAATAGGAAGGGACGCTGGAGGAAATCCTGGCAGGGGCCAAGCGAATCAAGAACACAGCGGGGGGGTTGAACAATGAAGTCGTGGCACAGAACCATCTCATCCAAGACATCTCCCAGGTACGAATCTTCCATGTCCTCGCTTGCTTTACCAAGCATTGGATCAACGTACATTTCACCCGCCGCCGCCCTATGTACCTCGTTCAATATTAGAATGCAACGCAAGCGACTTCGGAAGTCGAACGCCAGGCCAGTGTCGCCGCCGCCGTCACGAAAAAGCGCAAGCAGGTACAGACAGCATCACCATGAGACTGTCTCTGATGATGATGACGTTGTGTGGGTGCGTAGCTGTGTTTCTACTACACGATCATCGTGGTGTTGATTGTCGTCCTCTTTCTCATCTTATACCTATAATCAACCTCGAGTTACAATGGCTTGCATGACGAATCTCGGGAACGTATGCCGGCACGGACGAACGAACGGCTGCCCTGTAGTACAAGGGGCCATCGAACTCTCCTGTGTACGACGTACATACATACCCCTGCGACAACGTTGCTCACGAGAAGCACATGCAGGGAGGACCTTACATCCCATTCAAACAAGGTCTGACTGAGCATTATACACACCGGTAGTTGGCTTCATCAGCCCATAGATAGGTCGGTATGTCTAAATGTTGATCCATGTGTAGTACTACTACGTAGTAGAGTGAGTAGTAGTAGTTAGTAGGAAGCTAGGAATGTGTGGTGTTACAACGGACATATCCATGCGATCGATCCGTCGTCAGGTTCATGACAAGAGAGCGATCGCACCAACGTCCACAGAGCATGTTAACATGTTTAATAGCGGTACGTTTCGGGCTTGTACGGGCCTTCCACGGCCACAGAGATGTAGTCGGCTTGGTCCTTGGACAGCACGGTGAGCTCCACGCCGAGGTTGGCCAAGTGGAGGCGCGCCACCTTTTCGTCCAATTGCTTGGGGAGTACGTACACCTTGCCGGTCTGGTACTTGCCAGAGTCCTTCTCGGTCCACAATTCGATCTGGGCCAACGTTTGGTTGGTGAACGAGTTGGACATGACAAACGAAGGGTGGCCGGTGGCACAGCCCAAGTTGAGCAAGCGGCCTTCGGCCAACATGATCACACCGTGTCCGTCCGGGAAGATGAAGCGGTCGACTTGGGGCTTGATGTTTTGGCGCTTGGTGGCTTGGGTCAAGCCGAGCATGTCGATTTCGTTGTCGAAGTGACCAATGTTACCGACAATCGCGTTGTTCTTCATCTTGGCCATGTGCTTGGTCATGATGATGTCCTTGTTACCGGTGGTCGTGATAAAGATGTCGGCAGTGGATACGACGGTTTCGAGGCGCACGACGATGAACCCGTCCATGGCGGCTTGCAACGCGCAAATGGGGTCGATTTCGGTCACGTACACGATGGCACCGGCGGCCTTCATGGCTTGGGCGGAACCCTTGCCGACGTCGCCGAACCCGCAGATCACGGCGCGCTTACCAGCCAACATGACGTCGGTGGCACGCATGATACCATCGGGAAGAGAGTGGCGGCACCCGTACAAGTTGTCGAACTTGGACTTGGTGACGGAGTCGTTGACGTTGATGGCAGGGAAGAGCAACGCGTTGGCCTTTTCCATTTGATACAAACGGTGCACACCAGTGGTGGTTTCTTCAGACACACCCTTGCAGCGCTTGGCGATCTTGGTCCACTTGGTGGGGTCGGTTTGGAGGGTGCGGCGGATCAAACCGAGGACGCACTTGAATTCGGCGTTGTCGGTGGAGGCAGGGTCAGGAAGGGTTCCGTCGAGGGCGAACTTTTGTTCGGCCTTGTAGCCTTCGTGGATGAGGAGGGTGACATCGCCACCGTCGTCGACAATGATGTCGGGTCCGTCTCCCTTGCCGTCATCTTCGGGCCAGGTCACGGCGTTCAACGTGCATTCCCAGTATTCTTCCAAGGTTTCGCCCTTCCAGGCAAACACGGCGGCGGAACCATCGCGAGCGATGGCGGCGGCGGCGTGGTCTTGGGTCGAGAAAATGTTGCACGAGCACCAGCGGATGTCACCGCCGAGCGCCTTCAAAGTTTCGATCAACACGGCGGTTTGGATGGTCATGTGGAGCGAGCCGACAATGCGCGCGTTCTTCAACGGTTGCGAAGGGCCGAACTCTTCAATGGATTGCATCAAACCAGGCATTTCAATTTGCGCGATTTCAATCTCCTTGCGGCCGAAGTCAGCGAGCGAAATGTCAGCGACGCGGTAATCTCCCATGGAAGCCATTGTTGTTGGTGGTGGCGAATTCAAAAATGACCATCCGAACCGCAGAATCTCGTCACAATTTCCCCCAACCCCACCAGAATTCGACGCACTTCTTGGATAAAACGTGTTTAACGCAATATTTGACATCAGTGATGAAGTGCAACGGGCGATTTCTCAAGAAAAAATAGAGGTGCTTTCTCCTCCATACTACGACTTATATATACACCACACAGACGCCTTCTTTGCCGTGCAGGCACATCCTAATCTAAGGCTGAAGGAATGTACGGCTGCTGCTTCATTGTTGCATACATAGTTTGCGATGATAACATTACGCTGTTTGCGAACTTCACTTGGAGCCGTTTTCTCGAAGGTAGTATTGTTTTACAGTGTTGCGTAGGTCGGGTGGGGATCAGGGAGTGAAATGCGCGGCCATACATAGCTGTTTTCTGGGCTTTATAACGACGATGGAGATGGCAATTGAAGTGTGGTGCCACGTACTTGAAGTAAGTTCATAACGAGGGCGATGTTTGTTGTGTGGTGGTAGACCATGCCGTCGGAAGTGGTGAAAACGCGTTAAATAGTTTAAACGTTGCTAGAATCTAGCCAGGGTGTCATGGCCTTGAAGGGAATGACGGCCTTTTTTCACCACAGCCACTCACTTTCCACTTTTTTGTACTGGTACTTTGTATGCAAAGCCAGTCGTCAGCCTCACGCGACGCTGATTGGGCCAAATTTGTTCCATATTTTGATGCAATCCCCAAACCACCACCACCCATTCCATCGTCGCGATCTATCGAACTAACATTAGTATGTAGTATAGTCTCCATGATGGTACATACATATCCGATATCAATCTCTCTCTTGGTAGGCCGACGACACAATACTATCCTAACGTTAGTTCAAGCAAAGAGTTTGTATCTATACCGGTGTTCACAGTCGACATCCTTGCCGGGCCCAGCTGTGTCTGTCACCCAAACTTTGTATGGGAACGTTGACTTGACTGATTGTATGTACTGTAAATTAGGCGTACCACTTACTTCTACTACATAGTAGAAGTGGTACGTTAACTGTTACTTATCGTTAGTACAACTTGGGATTTGAATCTAATATGTATGTAGTGTATCAGCACCGCACGAATTCACACTATATACAGTTGCCAATTTCATACTATATACCGTTTCCGATTCACATTATATATCGTTGCCTTTTCACACTATATATCGTTGCCATTTCACACTATATACCGTTGCCATTTCACAGTATTTCATGTTCCATGGGCGGGCAAGGTTCGGTCGGTTATGCGCCTCGTATTTGATTGGCTGCCTGATTGGCCTTGCATCACGGGAACCATTGGCTGTGTTTCTCCATCCAACATGGCGTTGTTCCGGTCCCTTGGAAGCCGCTGCTTGACGGCGGCGCGCCCCTCCCTCTTTCGTGCCGCCTTCAGTACCACAGTCGATGCCGACATCGTCCCTGCGTCCATCAAGTCGACAGGATTCTCCGTGGTGCGCCACCCCGTGAACGACGCGGCGTTGAGTGTGTCGTTGGAAGCGGGCGACGTGTTTGCCGTCGTCAAGCTCGGCGGCACCCAATTCAAAGTGACCCAGGTATGTATGGCGGTCGAGTCGTTTGGTGGTTGCTTCTCTCATGGACTTGTGTTTACCTGGGATGCAAATGTAGGGCGACATCGTGATTGCTGAAAAGATCATCGACGCCAAGGTCGGGTCGATCTTGGACTTGAACGAAGTGCTGCTCATCGGGTCGCCCAACGAAACCATCATCGGCCGACCGTTCATCACTGGCGCCGTCGTCCAAGCGCGCGTGGAAGAGCAAACGCTCGACAAAAAGATTGACATTTTCAAGAAGAAGCGGCGAAAGAATTACCGCCGATGGAATGGATTCCGTCGTGAAGTCACCGTGTTGCGCGTCACGAACGTGCTTCCTGGCGATCTTTAAACTTCATAGACAAGTCGGTAGATGATGATAAAGGAGGAGGGCCGTGTGGCTGGAGGCACAAGCTTAAGATCGATGCGTATGTACCATAAACATGGCTCTGTTTCGTCCATGTTGACGTTTTCGACGGCATCATGGCCATAATGCCTAGTCTAGTCTTGTGGGATATGCTGAACCGTGGTAGCTTGCTTTTGTGGAGAGCAACTTGCATTAACTACTTACTATTAATAGTGTAACTTAGTATGTCGATGCCACACGGACATACTAGAGGTATGTATTATAGACTGCGCTGCCAGTGTATGCGCTAGCTAACGTTAACGTTATCACAGCAAACACACACTGGGAACGACGACTACTGGACTAATACCTTAGTCATGCTGATGTGTCCTACAGTATTAGTAGTCGTCTGCACTACCTGTGTGATTTCAATCGATTTTCCAACGTGAATTCAACCAATCTATTGTAGCCACCACGATCATGCCAAGTGTACGAAGTACTCAATAGCCTTCTAATAGCATTTCCATATCAGCACGCAGCGATCCCAGTTGCTTCTATTGTCGGAGTGCCAAGCTGGAGATGCAGCATTCTACCCAGGTACACTTCAGTCCACTCGTAGCTGGCCATGTCAAGAACTACTACAACTGTACTGTACTCGTGGCAGTGCCACTGGGTAGAACGAACCATGGGATAGACCTGGCCCTAGAGATGATGGAGCGGTCTGTAGCCGACAGCTACACGAACGAGGTGGAAGCTGGTTGTGTCGGCCTTTCACCGTGAATGGCCGTACACGTGAACGTGAAAGTTTCACGTTCACACGTGCTTTGGCCAAACGGTCAGTTTGGTCCAGCCCAATTGCATCTTTGGTGTGCCATATCGTTACGGTGTGACCCCCCCTGGTGGTAGGTGGCATCACGCGCTGGTTCAAGCTGCATACCGTTATGAAATGTCCACAGCTGGACGCCATTCGCAGCCAGCCAAAACCACGCAACACATTCAAACAGTCCAGGCTAGTAGTACAATGCACTTGCTTGGGTACGTACACGATGACAACGTTGCGACGGGCAACGCCGTGTTGAGCAAGTCCTAAACCAAGTCCAAGCCCCCGTCGACTCAAGTCCAATTTTAAGTCCTATAAATGACATCGTTTGTCGTGGTTACACGCCACGTTGTCATGACTCGAAGTGTCATCACATTACAAGCAGACTCAATCGCCCGCCAGATGCTATACTGTACGTGCGAATCCCCTTACTGTTGACTGGGGGGGGGGATATATGCATTGCTCGTCAGTAGCTTTCGGTGAACGTTTACGCCCCGAGACAGTTATATGCCCCAAGTAACGTTAGATCACACTCGTCAGGTCCTTCCGTCTCACTTGCTTCGAACCCGTGAGGCCATTCCGAGTAATGTAAGAATAGATGTCCCCCCCTCAATTCAGAACAAGAAGTGTTGATGCGATGCTAGTCGTAGTACATTTTGCATGCACATTCGAACTAACAATGCATAAACAACATTAACGTTATTGGCAACAACGCCGGGACTTCCGTTGCTGACAGTGAAGTCAGCATGCAACGCTGCCATTTATCTATTTCAAGAGCCTGTTCCAAGGTAGATTTCAAGCAGCCATTCCTTCATCACGTGTCTCGGACTTCTTCCTCAGACCATGCCTCGCTCTCCGTCCCGTACTGAAGATCACCCTTTGTCGTACCGTTGTCTAGGGCATCCATGCTCCGCATGTGCTGGGTCCATTCCTCGCTCTCCTATCTCGTTGATGGATGTCAAGAAAAAACGGTTCGCACCGGGTGTGCAATTTTGAGCTGTCGCACTTAACACGGTAAATTCGGATTGACATTCAGCCAATCAGCGTGATTCATTTGGATGTACCCAATCACATCGCAGCATCGTCCGAAGGTGGTTGGTTGCCAGCCAATGTTTCTCCTGGTGGTTCAACCACCAACCACAAGGCCACACCGTAAAGCCCATTTTTGATCTTTCCCTGCAAAATATGTCTGGACGAGGTGGCTTTGGACGTGGCGGCGGAGGCCGAGGTGGTGGACGTGACGGTGGTCGCGGTGGCGGACGCGGCTTCGGCGGTGGCCGTGGCGGCGGAGGTCGTGGTGCCGCCGGCGGTCGTGGTGGCTTCGGCGGCCGTGGCGGACGTGACGGTGGTCGCGGCGGAGGTCGCGGCGGTGGACGCGGTGGTCGCGACGGCGGTCGTGGTGGCCGTGGCGGCCTCGCCGGTGGCAACAAAGTGCTTGTTGAACCCCATCGTCACGCCGGCGTGTTTATCGCCCGCGGCAAGGAAGACGCTCTGGTCACGTTGAACTCGACGCCCGGCAAGTCCGTGTACGGCGAAAAGCGTATCTCCGTGGACGTGCCCGCCGCCTCTGGTGAGGGCACGGAGAAGGTCGAGTACCGCGTGTGGAACCCTTTCCGCTCCAAGTTGGCCGCTGCCATTCTCGGCGGTGTGGACAACATCTGGATGGGCCCTGGCTCCAAGGTGCTGTACATCGGTGGTGCGTCTGGTACCACCGTGTCGCATGTGTCCGACATCGTGGGCCCTACCGGCGCCGTGTACGCCGTCGAATTCTCGCACCGATCAGGCCGCGACTTGATCAACATGGCCAAATCCCGCACCAACGTGATCCCGATCATCGAAGACGCGCGTCACCCCCTCAAGTACCGCATGCTGGTACCGATGGTCGACACGATCTTTGCCGATGTGGCTCAGCCGGATCAAGCCCGTATTGTGGCTTTGAACGCCAGCTACTTCCTCAAGAACGGTGGCCACTTTGTCGTGTCCATCAAGGCTAGCTGCATCGACTCGACCGCGCCCGCCGAGGCCGTGTTTGCCCGTGAAGTCAAGAAGCTGCAACAGGACCAGTTCAAGCCCGCGGAACAGCTCACATTGGAACCATATGAGCGCGACCATGCCGTCGTGGTCGGCAGCTACCGAGCCCCGAAGAAGGACAAGTAAGAAACGGCTACCGCTTAATCGCGTTTGTGTGAATAGATTTAAATATACTTGGGAGATTCAAGTCAAGGCTGGCACGCGAGAGAATGTGTGTGTGTACGAGTCGCTAGCGAGTGAATGTATGTGTGTATTTGGATGGTTGAAAAGTGTTGTGTGATGGGAATCCCAGTGATGACACCCTTGCGTCGGGCGATCTGATAGCCGTAGCAATATGGCTTGATGACAGACGCGAAGATGTACAAATAACTATCTCTGAGGGACTCCCACCTTTTCATGTGTAGACTAGTTGCGTAGGTACTACTTGTAGGTAGTGTGGTGTAGAAGAAACGTAGGTAGTAGCGTCGTACAGGTTGTAGTGGCTAACTACTCATGTAACAATGGTTCGTGTTTCCTGTTTCATTCGTGTGTCTGCGACGTCGTTGGTTTACATACCGCCAGTTGTGCCGAATCGCTGTGATACTGTCTGTGCCGAAAGAAGGGAAGCCTGAAGTGTACGTACATATGAAGTAGCTACGTTAGAAGCCATGCATGCCTTCGCTGATCCTAATGTGAGCAAGGCATCACATAATGCAGCAAACCGTCCACTTTTCGTTTATAAGTGTCCCTAACGTTACTATCAATAGTAGTAGTAGTACTCTGAGTAGCAATCATAGTACTACGTAGTACTACTTCGAAGTAGTAAGTACCCTTCACGTTGGAGTGAGTTTGCAAATGGGAATATGATTTTGTGGATTCGATACGAATTTCCAGACCCCTGAATCGAATCACGAATCGACGCTATTGGCTAATCCATTTTTGAGCGCCTTTGATTGGCTCTTGCAGAAAGGGCAACGATATTCAACTAATCACAACTCCGGTGTGATTCAATATTGATTCGACAAACCAGGCGAATTTTGGAAAGTTATAGCGAATTTTCAATATGTACTACCACATTTTTATCATCCTTGGAAAAGCATGTCCAAACTAACCGGATCGAGTACTGTGTATAACGTCGTTCGTGGCTGTAAGTTGGTAGTATTGTTATGACTGGTTGATAAGCACGACGCCGACGTTGGTCGCAAGGGTCACGACTCGGACGGCGCTGGTCAATGCAGCTTTGGTGGAGCGGAAGCCATCGAATTTGAACGTTCCGCGGGGGGGTACGAGGGGCGTGAGGGCCGCCCCATAGTAGGTGGTTTCCAGGAACTTGGGTTCGACGTTGCCTTGGTCAAATGCAGTTTGAATGTCGCCGAGTTTGGTTTGAATGTCCAGGAAATCATTTCCCCCGCCGTGTTCGGGGGCGTTGCCGAGCACCAGCGCACACCACTCGTCCAGAGCATCGCCAAATCGGTGGATGACCTGGATGCGTTCCATCATCGACGAATCGTCTTCTATCTCCTCGTCTTGGGATGGAATAGGACGTCGTCGGAGGGCAGACGCACAGGCGGCCATCGAGGCGCCGCCGCCAGGCAGCACGACCTCGTCCTCCACAGCATGTGCCAGACGATGCAAAGCGTTGGTGATGTTTGCGGTGGCGTCGTCGGCAGTAGCCCTGCTCATACCAGTAACTAACACCGTCAGGGGGGTGGTAGATAAAGTGGAGGAAGGGGGGGGGGAGGGGGAGCAGGAGGGGGGCGGCGTCGTTGTGTGGTGCTGCAGCTGCAAGAATGTGCGACAATGTAACCGTTCAATCGTCGCCTGGATGCACATGGCCTCCGTGCTAGGACTACAAGGGGACGGTACTACTGCTACTAACACGATGGCTTCGCACAATCGTTCGCACACTCGAACGGCAAACGTCGAGGCTACCTACGGTAGTCCAGGAGGTGTTAGCTTTTCTGCTCGGATCAACCATACTAGCTCGTTGTTTGTGTTGGAGACATCATATTGTCAAGTCGTCGATTCGAAATTGGAGTCGTGTGGTCTTAGCATATGAATTATATATATCCAATGAACCAACCACAATTAACATCTCGCATAATATGATATAAATATGATATATATCGGGTGTGTTTGTTGAAGGTAAAAGTGATAAGTGTTATTGTCAAGATAATACATATTCGATTCGAAATTGGAGTGGTGCTCAGAATAACCAAATCGGCCGACAATCGATATACGGCCAATCAAAACCCAGATATCAAGTGGGCCAGTCAAATCCTTACGTCGACATCTAATTAGTGTTTGAGTGAAATTAGTGTGATACTGGACAAAAACCAGTACAACGAATCGATCGATAGGTTTGGCGAATCAACAATGACGTACGCGACGAAGCACAGCTAGCGGTTGGTAGGGCACGCACAACATAGCATGTCCAATGGGGCGATGGCGGCACCAGTCGAGGGTTTGCGCACAGATGGCCCCGGTGGTCAGGATCAAGGCCGCCGACTCCAATTGGCGGCACGCGGCCAGACTAAATGCAATGTCTCCTTGCACGAGAACCACTTGGTGGCTGGAAAACGAGAAGTGGGTTGGGTGTGGCGGCCACTGAACGTCGTCGCAGAGTTCGGACAAGTCTACCAAGAGACCTCGATAGATACTGGACGTAGCCACGCCGCCTGTGACGGCGACTTGGAAATGCACGTGATGAGGCCAGGTTGTGTCGAATGACCGCAAGGAAGATGCGATTTCCACAGCTGTGGTCATGGCAATGGCGCGGTCTGGGTGCCTATAGTACCAAACAAGGCAAAGTTGAGCGCATGCTACGTGGAACGGGCGGGTGTGGATAGGAAGTAGTACGAGGACGAGAGTGCCGACCCAAGAAGGGTGAGCGCAGAAGGCGGAGGTCTGACATGGTGCCGACTTGTTTCCCGCAGCCACTCGTGCACGTTCACTTGCATGCGGGTAAGGACGTGGACACACTGGGCCAATGCACGATTGAATCCTCGGGTTATGTGCAGTCTAACACAGCCATGGCATGGATTAGGACTGACTACTAGTACTAGGGATGAATAGGGAAACTGATGATCGATTGATTTTGCTAGGTTTTCGTGCGTACGGGGGTAAGTGCGTCAAGTCCATGGCAGCATGCGTCAAGACGTGCACCAGCGTCACGAGGGTAGTCGCTCCCTGTCAAGACATGGCCATCAAATATCGATGGCATGAACGCAACGCATCTTACTGTGCCAAAGTGAGTCATGTGAGTATCGACTGTCTTGAGCAACATGGCAAAGATCGGATGCTCCACATGGAGGCTGCGCACGACAGTGACGATGTTGGCCGTGAACATCGTCGTCGTGCCGTCCTCGTCGTTGCCACCTACATGTCGATACATGGGTGGAGTGAGGTATAACGTTACGAGGTATATCCTTGCATGAGACGTCGTACCCCCTGATATCTGCTTTCGACTGCGACATGGTCCTAACAACGTTTTCGCAACCGCAGTGGCCGCCGCAAGCGCTGGAAGGAGCGCCTTGGAGTTCAACGTGGCGCAGTCCATATCTTTGAACACATCCGGATAAAGATATGGTAACTCTCAGTGGAAACATTGTATGGTTTTGATTGGCTGGTTCAAATGAGATTAGCCAATCAAGCGTTTCTTTTAGATTTGTGGTGTTTCCTCATTAAGGCGCGCTGCCGGCCCAATTCAAGGCAGAGTTTAGTTACTCTGCCTTGAATTGGGCCGGCAGCGCGCCTTAATGTAAGCTACTTACTATTCATTCGTCCTCCAATCCAAAGCTGCGCCATGATGGTGGCGATGATGCCGCCCTGTCCACGGATTCTCGGATATGGTTGCATTGGTGATCACACAGTTACATATTGTGATCACGGGATCGAGCAGCATAAACGTCGCCCCGTGAAATGCAGCGGACTGATTTATGCACTTCCATATTAGTGGTCAAGAGACAGTTTTGATGATCGATTATTCCTGCTTGGGACTCCTACACTGTACCGAACAGGCCTAGAAAAGCTGCCTCGACTTCGAAATACCATGTCATTTTCCCCAAGTTCTACTACCTACATAGCAAGGTCGTCGTCGTACTAAACATAGCTGAACTTTAGAAACCGCCGTCTCACATGTGAGTGAATGTGGCACCGCGTGCTATTTTGACCGCGAGTCTTCAAGCATACAAGGCGATAACGCGTGGTCCATATGTCGAAATATACTTGCAAAATGTATTGCGCGTGACTTTACGACTAGCGCCGCCCCGAAAAAGCCGAAAATAGCCGAAACGGGGGACGATCTTGGCCGTTTTGTATGGAAAAGTACCCTGTTTCGACGAGGTTTTGGTAATTTCGGACATCCGCGTGAAATTCGGATATCGCTCGGATGGCGGAAATTCCGTCCGTGCACCAAACCCATGAGCAACGCTTCTATACACACCCATCACGCATGACAACATCACCTGCAGTCACTCCTTGATCACCCCACGACGACTCGATGCAGTCGACAGCAATATCCATTGCAGATCGCGTCGAGGCACGCCGCGCCAAGCGGCGCAACCGAAGCAAAATCAGCCAGCGAAAGTATCGCGCCAACCAGAAAGCGTCCAATACGCAGCTCGTCGAATACGTGCGGGAGCTCGAGATGAACAACCTGCGGTTGGAGGCGCGGCTGTCTGTGCTACACGAACGACAGGGTGTGAGTCAGTGCATAGCGTCGATCAAAGAGTACTTGCAGCTGTTTGAACATGGGTACAACCCGCGAGGTGGCGACGTTGGGCACACGAATCGACAAGAGGCGTTTGTCCACAAGCTCGTCACGCCCAACGTCGACTACAACGGAAAGGTACTACGTACATGCATACATCTCTTTGCACATGCCACGTCACGAATACGATAAAACGTAGATCGGAGTTGACTATCTCCTCGACCAATGGGCGACGTATTATGCGCTGTTTGAGTCGTTTCGCATCGAGTGGACCACGATCCAAGTGCTGACAGTCGACGAACACGCGATTGTGCTGGAAACAACGGTGTTCATGCATGTGCTGGTGACCGACACCTCCGTGTGCGCGCTCTTCCCGCGTTTAGCGCAGCATCGGGCAGATCTCGCCGACAAGTTGGTCGGCACCAAGCTCACGGTGCCCCTTCGCGCCCTGTTTACGCACGATGCACACACGCACCAAGTGACGCGCGTGCAGGCGACGGCCAGTGTCGCAGTGGCTCTCGTGAAGCACTTGAACAGTGTCGAAGAAGCTAGCGAGGCATTGCTGGGAGCTCTCCTCGACGACAACCTCCTCCTTGAGCTGCAACACCATCACACTCCATAAACAAATACTGTACCAGGAGTAATTGGTTGTATTATTTCGTGGTTGAGTTGGCCGATTTACGTCATCTTGAGTCGAAATCTGATAGGAAATTATCCAATCAAGCTCTGGAATGACCTAAAAATCATGTTCGTTTTAGCCAATCCAGTGGGACGTCAGACTATCCCGGTTATACAGACGAAACCGTATCAACTCACGAGATTACTTGGAGTGCTATTTATAGTACTTAAGTACTACTACGTAGTACTTGATATATGATGGACAGCCCACGTACGGTGCAGCTCGTTTCTTCGAGATCATTGCGTACACTGTACGGCTTGTCCTCCAACGATTTGTTTTGACTTCGTGGGTACAGACTGTATGCCCCACTACAGAGCCCCCTATGCCCTCAAGTACATTAGATCGTTATTAACGATTACTCCGAGTACTACGTAGTACACAGTACCATGATATAGAAGCTGCCGAGCTACTGTAAGCTTACCGATACTGTACGTAGGAACTGTAGGCCTTCTCTTGAAGTACAGTAGGCACTGAAAAGAGTGACACCGATTTCACATTCCCCAAGGTCAGAACCGAAAGGCTACAGTACCGCTTTTGTACACTTCGCAAGGTGATTTACCGTGTACTGTGCTATTAATAGTTGGCGGAACTGTAGTACAGTACCCTGTGTATGATTGTGTCAGCGTTCGCCTCTTATCGCTCAAAGCTTCGACAAATACTGTGCATACCGGCAAGACGTCATTTGCACCCGAAATCTAGCGCATCTTTGTTGGCGAGCGGAAATCATAGGAATCAAACTATTAATAGTATACGTATACTACGTTGTACCCTACGCGAAGCACGGTATGTATACTCACAATCATATCCGTTGGCAACAAGTAGAATGAGTGGAGGAGATTCATGGAGAACGACGTGGACAAGTGTCACAACACACGATGCCATCAGGAATACCATATGCCAAGCAAGATTCGCATAAATGCCATTGATCTCTGCATTGATCACCTCGTAACGTTGCCGTAACTGTAAAATACGTCGTGTATACAAGGGATTTGTACTCTATTGACATAAAACGATAAACTCGCACCATTATGAGGACATTTTGTTCGTGTAGTCCTGTTCAGAATTTATACTGGTTGAAGTACGGATCTATATTGGATGGCAAAGATGTCGATATGTTTTTCTGAGTAAAAGTCGCTTGGATTTCTCAAATGATGACCACTCTCTCTTTGAATAAGAACTGAACGGAGGGAGACAGACACGTTGTACTGCACGTTTGCCTTGCCTGTACTTCTACAAGCAACCTCAATCCAAACTCCTGTATCGTGCAATAGCTAGCAATTCGGCAGCCCTGCACTTCTCCCTCCCTTTTGTACCTTCTATCGGTCGGTAAGTTGTTTCCATGATGTCGCATTGTCAATCTCAACCCTAACCTTTCCATGCAAATCTCCTATCATGGGCAGGGCCCCACAACTGCCTTGAGTGCCCATACCATTTCGTGAAGGTTTGCACGCTACTAGTAGTACTGTAGTATCAGCATTCCAGTGTACGTACGACCAATATTGGGGGATGGTTGATTGGAACTACTACGTAGTAGTATACTAGTAGTGTACATTGTACAACTGCAGTCGTGTATATCATGAGAGTGAGAGTCAACAATTACTGTACTCAAGAACACCAGTTTCAACGGCACCGGCTCTCATGTTGAAGTCTTTGAAATCCAGCGTTTGGATTGGCTGAAATTGTGCGTATTATAACGTTTGACAGGATATCGCCCGTATCGCATCGAACATGGTGCCACAGTCTCATTTTTACATTACTAGTATACCTCGAGCATGCAAGCGGCGCCGACGGCTTCTGCGCTTGGTGCGATTCCATCGGGTGCATCGTTCTTTCCGACCCCATCAGAGATCTCCGTTACAATGCGGTGGATGCGAGACCACCCTGTGGTAGCTGCGGCGACATGCGCGGCCGCCACAGCCGCGTCCGTGGTCGCGTACTTTGCACTGCAACACAAGGCGTCATCCACGAAATCGTCCTTGGACGACCCCCTCGACACAAGCGACTCTTACGAACCTTCGCTCGTTGCATGTAAAGCGTCCAAACGTGGCGAATCCAATGCCTCCGACCATCCCACGGAGAAGGACAGCACATTATCGTTCAGTTCCGTGGGTGGAGCAGGCGATGTAGCGTCGAGTCCACATACTCTGGACTTGCTCGACGCAGTCCCAGAACAAGTACTCACTCACACAGCTGACGAATACGATTCCGAGTCCCCTGCGTGGGGATGGTATGTCTCGTTGACGCCCCCAGAAGATATGTACGCGCCGCCAATGTACAAGGTCGAATGAGATCCCCAAGCAAGGCGGGATCGTCCGTCGGCATGTTTGTGGTGTCTAGTCCAAAAGTTAACTTAACGCGCAATAAGGCGCCTGTAATATATAGTATCAAGCAGCGTTATTTCTTCGTTCCTTGACCTGGAATTCTTCGTGGGCCTTAAAATCGGTAAAAAGTGATTCGAGTACGCTATTGGCTAATCCAATTTTTTTGAGTTACATCTGATTGGCGTCTGGGGAAATCGTGAACTTTTTTTATGAAATTTTTTGACTAGTCAGAATTTCAGAACGTTGAACTGCAAGTGGGAAAAACTCACAGTATTCTATATTTTGAGTAGAAAACTGATAATCTGAATTTAAAACGAATATAAAGATGTACTTGTAAACGGTGGATGATTACTTCATTTTTTAAACAAGTGTTAGGGTGGGTCTAATTTTTCCAATATTTAGCTAGTTTGTAGATACTTCTTTTCTCCTTTTCTTCATGAGACTTTGGGAAATATTTGCAGACTTGCCAAACCAGTTTATGTATGGCGGGTGCCTGTATATACAATACTTCAATGTAAAGAGTTTCAACTACAAAATGAAGGTACTCGGAGAGAGATAGAGAGACTTGTTAATTATACTAGTCTTAGCGATGATGGTATGGGCGACTGTGGGAGGACGTGGGGGACGGGATCAGCCGTTTCGCGGCGACCACCCAATCCACCAAGTCCGGCTGGGACACGCATTGAAACATGTGGCGCTTGGTGCTCTCCGTCTTAAACACGCTGAAGAGGCCCGTGGACGCAACCGCTTCGGCGACTTCGAACGTCGGACTGTGGCCCTTGGCGATTGTGAGGCGGCAGTTGGGCAACGAGACGGACGCGAACGGATTGCATGTGACACTGTCAGCCGTAGCAGCAGGCAGGCACTCCAAAATGTACTCGTTCAAACTCTTCACACACGACAACGTGGGCGGGTTGAGCTCAAACAAGTGTAACCACCGGTCCTGCGTAATCACCCCAAACATATCTTTCCATGTCTTGAACATTGTCGACGTCACTTGGTATTTTAGGAATCCGCATCGAATCAACTAGGAAGATTCGGATATTTTGGTTAGGAATATATATATAATGGCCAGATCGTGGTTGAGATAACATTCGGATTGAGTTATGGAGGGTCGTACCAGTGGACTAGCTAAGGGTGACCGGAACGAGCTGAAGAAAGCGGCTTCTTGGCCGTCCACTGCCAATGCCAGCGCAGTGTTCTAGTCCGCATCCGTAGTAAATACAAATATTGTCAGCTCTATCGTATAATATATATATATATATATATAATATAGTATGCATCATCGTATCCCCGATTCGAAATCCACTCGAAATACTATTAATTCTAAAAAACATTATTCCAATTGGCACTTTTTGTTTTTTTGTATATACATTCATATATATATATATATATATATAGGACGTACATTGCGTGGTATGCGACGGATGGTTTGGATCAAATCTTTCTCGGCTTCGATTTTCTACGCAAGATTAATATAAGAAAAATAGACAAAAACAGATCAAACTTGAGTATTACTAGTAATATATATCGTAATTGGGCATCGTTTATGATACCTGCACAATGGCCAGCGGTTCCGTCATGGAATTGCCTAATTCTTCAAAAATCAACTTTTGCTTGCGGATGAAAATGTCCAGCGCCGACTTCGTCACAGACACCCGCAGCACCTCCAACGTCTACCATTCCGACCACAACGTCAAGTCAGTCGCATCATTTCAACCATAAAGTAAACAACTACGTGAGTCTCATCATTCCAACCATACAGCGAGCACGCGTCCGTCGTCATATCATTCCAACCACAAAGTAAACAACTTCGAAGTATCATCATTCCAACCATACATCACACGTCAGACATGTCAGAAGTACTTCAAGCCCATCATTCCAACCACAAAGTAAACTACTTCGAAGTACTTCAAGCCCATCATTCCAACCATACAGTTCACGTCCGTCGTAGCTTCATTCCAACCACAAAGTAAACAACTTCAAAGTATCATCATTCCAACCATACAGCACACGTCAGAAGTACTTCAAGTCCATCACTCCAACCACACAAAATAAAACTACTAGAGTCAGTCCCGTCATCATTCCAACCACACACACTCTCATTTCCGTCGCATGATTCCAACCTCCACCAGTTACCAGCCACATGTGTCGATAACAAGGGTACTAACTACTGTACGTCCTCATCAAAACGACAAGTAGGTACATCATAGATATATATAAAATATATATATATAGACCTTGAACTGGTGGAATAGACCCGCCATCCCCTTGACATACTCGACGCGGACGGTTTGCAGCCGCTTTACATGCACGCCGTACGACATTTCCGCGAGCCAGAGGTCGTTCCCGGCTGCTTTCGAGTCGGCCGGACCCGACGGGTCCTTGGCGTGGCGGTGCCGCTCCATGTCCCTAAACACGCCGTCGTACACGGCGAACGCTTCGTGTACCCGGCGCTGTGTCACATGCAGCAGCGCGTCCAGCGCGTCCCCTTCTGACAGCATCGCAGATACAGTCTCTTCGTACTTTGCCACCTAGTCACAGACGTGTTACGAATAGGACTTGTGTGTGATTCGAACAAGAGTGTGTCTGAACCGAGCGCAACTTGTGTACGTCGGTACTTCGGTACTTGAGTACGTCGGTACTTCGGTACTTGAGTACGTCGGTACGTCGGTAATTGAGTACGTCAGTACTAGAGTACTTTATGTGGACGCCGTCCATTTGTTATCGAAGTACCGATAGGTACGTTTGAGATCAGGTGCTTGTATGAAATGATAGGGACTGTACGAACCATTTCCTGGAACGGTCGCAGGAGGACGTCGCGCTGGACGGTGTTGGTGAACATTTCGAGCTTTTCACACAGTAATTGCTGGCTTTCCCCTAGGGCAGCGAGCGCTTGGTCACATGAGGACGCAACCTGCAAGTTCATCTTGGACTTGGTCGAAGTTGCCGCCACCGATGCAGATGATGGATCTGCCACCGGCGGGCCATCGAGCACCAAGCGAAGGCGCCGCAAACTGTCGGCATATGCCAAGTCGGCCGCCACTTTCTGCGTGAAGAACTTGACGAGTCGCGCGTTGTGCTCGCGGCCGGCGGTCACTTCCTGGCAAAACAGTTCCCAGTACCGACGATCTGCGCTCTGCCCTGGATCGATGTACGTCTTCCGCGAGGATTCAAACCCACGAAGAGCGTCACAGGACACACTCTTGTTGCGCCATTCCATCGCGGGAGACATGTGTTTGTCGTGTGGCGACGACTTCGTAAAACTATTGGAGCGTGGGGACAACATGGACGCGGAAGGGGGAGGTGACGAGGTCGCATAGTGGCGGGGCGACGGCACGGACAACACTTCACGCACCGTCGATGAGATGGTTACAGGTGATGCGGGTGGCGATGTGAGTGGCGACGTGGGTGGTGGTGGGGATGTCGGAGTGGTTGAAGGTGCCGCGGCTTCTGCTTGCGACGCCAGTTGGGGGGCTACAGAGGCTATCGCCGTGTCTTGCTCAGTGATGGTCGCTGTTCCCGGCCCTTTGGACTCCATTTCGTCCAACGAGCTAAGCGGCGGCAGCGCTGGCGATGGATGTGGGATTGCGCTGCTCATGGAACTTCTTTCGTTGCAATGAAAGTAGTAGGTCTATCAAACCCCCAACCAGCCGGCACCGGATAATGCAAGTATTATCCGTACAGTGAACTTATTCCGCAGCCCATGGAAAAGCGAGAAATCGGCGACGAGGCGGTGTGGACGCTGTCGTCCGCCAAGCAGGGCAATGGTGTCCAGCAACTGCGAGATGGTACGTGGCAGGCATACTTACCTCCATGGATCTGGACGAGAAGTGCATCTACAACTTCCTTCGTCATCGTCGCATGCTTGGCGGTGAGTTGCTCCTCTTCAACGTAGACAACCTGGACACGTACTGGCAGTCGGACGGTGCGCAGCCGCACTTGATCAACATCCAATTCCACAAAAAGACGACAGTTCAAGAGGTGGCTCTCTATTTGGACTACAAGCTCGACGAAAGCTACACCCCCAAGACGATCACCGTTCGCACGGGCACGACCTTTCATGATCTTGTCGATGTCTTGACCCACACCACCACCGAACCCACGGGGTGGGTCACCATTCCTCTGTCGTGTCAACCAACGGACTTGTCCATGTTGTCCGAGGTAGTACATATGTAGCTCGATTGTCGTCACCGATCTACTTATTGCTATCGTCGTCACCTTTCATACTGTAGCAACCACTGCGAACGTTCTTCCTGCAGCTGGCCGTCACAGGCATGCATCAGAACGGCCGGGATACACACATCCGCCAAGTCAAAGTATTTGCGCCGCGGCAGCCACAACGACCCACGGCCGGAACTTTCCATTTCCGCGCGTCGTCGTCCGTGGAAGTGTCCTCGTTTGCGTGCATTCGATAACGAAGTTCGGTTGTCTACTAGTATTTCGCATTGAAACCAGGACAATCTTAAACGTACATTCATTGACCATAGGATAGATATCCTTTGGTATGGCTTAGCAGGTAGACTTCTAATTGTCGTCTAATACCGATTCGTCCGTGGCCATTTCAATCGGCTTGAGAGAGCAAACATACAGTATATTTGGCCTGTTCGTCGAAATTTTGGGTTTTTCGACCAGCTTTTTTCCAAATATATTTTCATTTTGATTAAAATATTGAAATACATACTCCTAACGTTAGGTTGTGCTTCGAAGTACACACAGGTTTAGCGATTTCGTCGAAATCGTAAGATTTTCGCCATATTTCACGTTTCGGACGCCATTTTTACCAAATCGATTTCAATCGATTTCATTTTGGATCAAAATTCGTACGATATTATTGTGTGGAGGTTGTCTATTATGAACACGAGAGAGTTATTTTTCCGTGACTGTGTCTATGCCTTGACGACGCCGACCTGCGCGGGTCGCAGCACGCGGCCGTGGATCGTGTATCCCGTCTTCAGGACCTGTCCGACGGAGCCAACCGTCTTGGTCGGGTCGGCGTACTCGAACAACGCTTCGTGGAAGTTGGGGTCGAACTTGTCGCCGGCTTCGCCCACAGACGCGATGCCGAACGAATGGAACACCTTCTGCAGTTCCTTGTCTGTCATGACGACCCCTTCATGGAGGTTCTTGATCGCGGCCAAGCTGTGCTCGGGCGACAATTCCTCGATCGAGATGCTTTCGTGTGCGCGCTTGAGGTTGTCGGACACGTCCAACAAGCTCTTGGCAAACTTGGAAATGGAGAACTCGCGCGCGTTGTTCACGTCCGTGCGCGAGATGCGGCGCACGTTCTCCGCGTCCGCCAAGGCGCGCAGCACCTTGTCGGTCAAATCGGTGTTCTTGGCCTTCAACGATTCGACTTCGGCTTGCAAAGCGACGACCGGGTCGGCGGCTTCGTCGGTAGTTGAGGCGGCGGCTTCTTCGGTCGAAGTTGCAGCGGCCTCGTCTTCGGACTTCTTGTCGTTCATCAAGAAGCTCGAGCGCATGAAGCCTCGCTTAGCGGAGCCGCTGATGGTAGCAGCGCGGCGGCAGGTGGACAGGACTTGGCGAGCGAGCATGATAAGCAGTCAAGAGTTTATTGGCGTTGGACGCTTTTGGACAACCATTCTACGTTAAATTAATATCTTCATTTTTGTATCCTCCTTACCACCATTTTTATTCTAGGTCTAACGTGCGGATTGGCTTAAAATTTCCGAGCTTCTGGAAAAGTCAAAGCACTTTGATTCGTAGTAAAATATATTAAATTAGCCAATCCGTGTGCGATATAATTTCGTCCAATGAAACAGGTTTAAAGTTTTGGATTGGCTGTTATTAGCCAATCTCTGACCATCATATTTCGTCGAAGATCCAAGTACACATCACGACGGTTCGAACATTGCTACTAGCCGACCAGTGCCACCACGAGCATGTCCACCCGCGAAAACAACAAGCAGCTTGAGACCGACAGTAGGTGGCTAACTTGTGGCTCTTCCCGTCATCTCATGTCTCGTTGTTGTAGTGGACGAGCATGGCGACATGAAGGTAGGATGTAGCGAGCTAAGCCTCATAAGCATGATGGTAGATTCATGGTGGTCGGGACGTAGAGCGATGTGCTGACCCAGGCGGCGGTGGCCATGGAACAGTTCACAGAAGAAAAGGAGATCTCCAAGCACCTCAAGACATGGCTCGAGGAGAAATACGGCCCCACGTGGCACTGCATCGTCGGCTCCGAGTACAAGACGTCGTTCACGTACGAGAGCAAGAACTTTATCAAGTTCAACGTCGGCAAAAAGTGCATCACGTTGTTTCGCCACAGTTAATACACGATTCGAATGTTTATGCTTTCTTGGGTTTGTGTGGCTTCTTGACCACCACGGGCGGCGTCGCGATGGCGTCCACGGGTTGCTTCGGTGCCAACGTTTCCTGGACCCGGACAACCCCGCGCTCAGAGCGCACGACGACCGGTCCGTCCTGGATCTCATGGGGGTTCAGTCGCGCTTGGTAGATGGCCCGCGTCATATCCGTGCGCCACTCTTGCAGGGCCAACTCGGCTGCTGCTGTCTCGTCCAAGTGTAAAATCCTATTACACAATGAATTGATCATGTGTATTTCAGGGGCATTTTATTCGCGAATATAAATTTACCGAAAGCGAGGATCCTGGCACAGTTGCTTGGCGGCCCACCGCATGTACGTGGTGGAGGGCACGACATTCGGGTTCGCGTGGAACAAGTCGACATTCTGGTCGTAATACGTCAGTTGAAGCAGTTTCACGTCTTTGGCCAAGTGCAATTCCACCGGAAGCGCCGCGACGTGCTGCGCCACACACTTGAAATGGCCCGGGAGTTCCATGCCCAAGGTAGAAAAACCTGGTTTTCACACTATTAAGTGGCTGGGAGTTACCGAATGACATATCAGTTACTTTTGTGGATTCGGTATTATTAATACTATTTAATAGAACATTAATACTAGAGCACATTTCCTGATCGAATATCGCCGAATCACGAATCAACCCTGGTGGTCAATTGACTTGATTGGCTCTTACGGAGTATTATTCAGCTAATCAAAAGGGTCTACATGATTCTGCATTGTGAATCATCGTGAAATCACAATATTGTACTTCTAACGTCAGCGTTAGAACGAGATGTGGCTAGTTGTGCACTTCGAAGTATTGTCGATTTGATACAAATTTGGGGAGGGGGTGCAATCGAATCGCGCCGACCAAACCGATCCACAATCGATCTGATTGGTTGAATTTCATTAAGAAGGATTTGATTGGCTAATAATTTTGAGCTCATCTGAGGTAGCCAATCGATTTAAATTCCAACGAGAAACCACGCCACAACACAATGAAATTTCACTCGAAAGCACAATAGTATTATTATCGTCATTTGATGTCCAAGAGGTCGTGTTCTGCCAAAATGGAGCGTGTGGTTGCAAGAATGCCGTGCAAGTGTCGTTGAATATCTGCGAGGGCGGTCATGATGTCTTCGGAAGGACTCGACTGTGTCATCGTGGCCAGCACCGCAGACTTTAGCGGACACGAGCTCAACGCCGTCATCACCCCTTTGCGAATCAACCACGGATGGCGCGTCCCCAACGTCGATTCGTACGCTACATACACAAGTATTGGACATTAACATCCATCCTCGAGGACGTTTGATATGTGTGAGATACAAGTCCTATCGAATCGAATTCGTACCTTTGGAAATGCCACTCCCAATGTCGTCGCCGTAGCTTGGATCCATGAGAACCCCCAGCATCGTTTCCACAAACTCTAAAAACCACAGCAACCGCAGCACACATCTACGTTGCAATTGACCATCACACATTGCTGTCCGGATAACCAGTCCAACACTAAATAGAGTTTACAACCAGTCCAACACTAAATTCACACGAGCTCACATACAGTATTGTCAAGTTCGAGGAGTCAATCGGTTAATCGACTTGATTGGCTCTTACAGAATATTATTCAGCCAATTAGAAGGGTCTGCATTGTGAATCATCGTGACAATACTGCTAACGTCAGCGTTAGAACGAGATTTGGCTATTTGTGTACTTCGAAGGAGTATTATTATCGTCATTTGATGTCCAAGAGGTCGTGTTCTGCCAAAATGGAGCGTGTGGTTGCAAGAATGCCGTGCAAGTGTCGTTGAATATCTGCGAGGGCGGTCATGATGTCTTCGGAAGGACTCGACTGTGTCATCGTGGCCAGCACCGCAGACTTTAGCGGACACGAGCTCAACGCCGTCATCACCCCTTTGCGAATCAACCACGGATGGCGCGTCCCCAACGTCGATTCGTACGCTACATACACATGTATTGGACATTAACATCTATCCTCGAGGACGTTTGATATGTGTGAGATACAAGTTCTATCGAATCGAATTCGTACCTTTGGAAATGCCACTCCCAATGTCGTCGCCGTAGCTTGGATCCATGAGAACCCCCAGCATCGTTTCCACAAACTCTAAAAACCACAGCAACCGCAGCACACATCTACGTTGCAATTGACCATCACACATTGCTGTCCGGATAACCAGTCCAACACTAAATAGAGTTTACAACCAGTCCAACACTAAATTCACACGAGCTCACATACAGTATTGTCAAGTTCGAGGAGTCAATCGAAAACTAAATTGAGAGTCAATCGATCGACCAATCAACATGCAGAACTCGAATCAAATGGCCAATCAAATCCACTTCAACCATCGATTTTATTCGTGTGAATGGCTTTTTTCCAATTCTTGCATAGAACATTCAGGACAAACAATCGATCGATGGGATTATTGTCGATTTGATATACAAATTAGGGGAGGGGGTGCAATCGAATCGCGCCGACGAAACCGATCCACAATCGACCTGATTGGTTGTTGAATTTCATTGAGAAGGTTTTGATTGGCTAATAATTTTGAGCTCATCTGAAGTAGCCAATCAAATCGATTTAAATTCCAACGAGAAACCACAACACAATGAAATTTCACTCGAAAGCACAATATAACCCGCGCCAATCATAGCCAATGTTTGGCTGAAAGCACAATACAATATTATTACTACATACCGACTCAGCGACGGGTTCTTCTTGCCGCCGCATGTGGCTACCCCGAGGTCGACTTCGTTCGTCACCATGTGTCGCAACGACGGCGGAGAATTTATCGTCACCGTATTGTCACCGTCTGGTGACAATGATGACGCCATCGCCGCTTCAATCGATGCAACGTACCCCGCCACGGTACTTGCAGCAAATGCCGTCGCTTTCCCAAAGCAGACCAACAATTTGGCCGTTTCGACATTGCATCGTACGTACGACGCCACCGTCAAGTCCTATCATCCACCACCACACACACATTTGGCATCACAAAAAGCTAAAAAAATCTCCAATTTTTCACCAAAAATCAAACCAATCGTACCGAGCCTTGGTTGAAGCTGGTGGTCAGCACGAGCCCGAGCTTGTCGAGGCGAACATCATCGTGTATTTCGTCGTCCTCATTCGAAGCGTTTTGTGTGTGGTCGTTGGATTTGTCACGAAGAATGCGCGCGGCGGCGGACTCGTCGGCACCTTTGGAAACCAAGGGAGTGTCCGACTCTGCAACGAACGGACGACCGTTTCGTTGATTCGTTTTCAGCGACCGCGTGCGTTGAAAGGCCAGCCACTCGTCCACGGCAATGAGCACCAGCAGCCCGACGGCAAACACGTCGAGCCGGGTGAGCCGGTGGATCGCGTCGACGCAGAGGAACGTTCCTGGAACGTTCATAAGATGTGGTAGCCGGAACACGAGTCGCAGCACCAGCCCAAACGAAAACACACCGAAAAACACAAAGTGCCGACGGCGTAGCCACTTGCACGACGAAGACGAACGTGCGACGAGGGTGGTATATGATGGCGGCACATGCGACGATGTGGGATGCTGTGACAAGGAAGGGGATGAGCCACCATCAGCCAGCGCCACGGGAGCTCGTGGAGTGTCCTCCACGACACGTGGCGGCGTCGTACTCGGATAGTCGGCGTCCAGCTTGCTCTCAAAGTAACTGCGCGCGCACGGATCGCACACACGGGAGCTCTTGTGGCCGCGATCCTTCCGTAGCTGTCCACGCTTTGGCATGTGGGGGCCGTCCAGTCCCATGTCGTCCAAGCGCAGGCGGCTCTTGGAACAGTCGTTGCACACGTTGCGATCGCATGCTTTGCATCGATGTTTGAACCGGACCAGCGAGAAGGGACGCAGGCACACGGGACATTCGTGCACACTGCTGAGTGTGTCGTCGCTGTCCGGGAAGAACGCGCCAAGCACGCGTTGGGTCGGCGATCCGTCCGTAGGCGCTGCAGCCGGGCTTGTCGGTGTCAGAGGTCGAGAGGCAATGGGCGTTGGTGGACGAAGGACTGTGGTAGTGGCGGCGGCTGCTGCAGCTGTGGTGGTTGGATCTGCCATCGACGAGTTGGCAACTGAATGGCGCCGACACAGCAAGCAACACGCTCGCAAGTCACCCACTGAAGAGTACTGTAACGGTAAGGTAGTCGGAGCAAGACGTCAAAAGACACGAATTTTTCATGCCATATTTGTTGAATTTCAACGTTCTCATTGGTCCTTTTTTCATGATATTTTGTGAAATGTACCAGAAGTTTTGCCAATATATTTTACATAAATGAAACATATCTACGGATGATCTCCGTATACGAGGTCCATTTATCCGGATGACTGTGGATGAGCGTTTTTATACTAATTTCATGGAGGGCGGTCACCCATGGATGGCCCTCCATGGTAGAATCGCCACAAGCATGATGACTCCAGTTGAGCATGTCCTGTACAGATATCAAATGTCCTCAAGGAGATCAAGCGCTAACGTAAGGGAAGCACAGATGGGTATTCTGGTGGAGAGTGATCAACGTTATCGGGCTATATTTATATTAACACATTTAGGCATTCATTGCAACCTTTTGCTTGTCCTTGTAGTCTTGGACAGCGGCTTTGATCGCGTCTTCCGCGAGCATGCTGCAGTGAAGTTTCACGGGCGGCAATTTCAAATGGCTTGCAATATCTGTGTTCTTGATGCTCAAGCAATCGTCCACGTTCTTTCCCTTCAACCACTCGGTGGCGACGGAGCTGCTGGCAATCGCAGAGCCACATCCAAACGTCTTGAACTTGGAGTCAATGATTGTGCCATGTTCGTCCACTTCGATCTGCAACTTCATCACGTCGCCACATGCCGGGGCGCCAACAAGGCCAGTGCCGACTGTGGAGGATTTCTTGTCCAAGGACCCAACGTTGCGCGGGTTCTCGTAGTGGTCGATGATGTTCTCGTGGTACATGCGCACGGGGGAGCGGGTCTGTGTCAGGGTGCGGCGGAGTGCGCGGAGTCCTGTGGAAGCGTGCATCATGGCAGGACGAAGAGAATTTGATTATGTGGAAGCAATCCATCTTCCTCGCTTGTTAAGTGTAAGCCAATCGGCATCGTCGCACCTATAACCAATCAGATGGTGGGAGGCCACACTTATTCCCCTTATTTCATTGGCTGACACGATTTGGCGAACTTGATTTGTTTAGGATTAGCCAATCAAAGTTAGACATTAACCGTATCCTAACGGTCGTTCCAGAAGGCCGATGAACGGCTCAACGTGATGAGTGATTTATTGAAAAATATGGAAATATCGAAAAAATAATATCTTTTCACCGGGCAATTCGTCACGAAACGTCATTTGAAAGGTGGACTTGTGAACTCGACACGATTTCGGTATTAGACAGATTTCGGAAGCACTGCCGTAGACTTCCCACGCAATATAATGCAACACAGTATGTGCTATGTAACGTTACACCTAGCTTATGTGACGTACATATGAGTTTACAGTTAGTTAACGTTTACTACTTACTACGTAGTAGTAAAAACAACCTTTGGTTTCGCGGACAATCAATCATCGATCGTATTCGGTGTATCAACCTAATCAGGACAAACGTGCCTTCCTTTAGGGTCCAACTTGAAGGGCAGTTGAACGCAGTGTCGCGCCATTTCTGAACGACGCCATAACCTGATGGATGGGGACCATTTCGTGTGCAGCGCGTGTTGGGGGAGAAGCAACGGCGCCCTCGTGTTGAGCAAGACGGGGTTGGTTTGGCGATCCCGCCAGACGGAGGCGCAAAAGAAGGTGGCGAAGGACGACATCGCAGACATGCGGTGGTGTGCGGTGGGGGCGCGGCACTGCCACGTCAAAGTGACGACCAAGGCCGGCAAGGCGGTCGTGCGCTTCACCGAGTTGAAGGTAGCGGACGTCAAAGCCATTTGCAAGTACGTGGAGGACGTGTGGGGCCACATCGTCGACGAAGAAACGCTGGCGTGCAGCGGGCACAACTGGGGGCAACTGGCGGTCCAGGGGGACACACTCAACTTTGTCGCACACAATCAACGGGGCGGCGGCGGCGGCGTGGGGGTGGTGGTGGAGCTTCCGCTGGGCTTGATCGCACAATGCGCACTGCCGTCAAAAACCGAGCTCGAGTTCCAATTCCACGACGACAACACGGTCGCGGGCGACGAGGAAGCGCTGGTCGACATGCGTGTATACGTACCCGCCGCCGCCACCGGGGGCGTGACGACGCTGGCCGAACGGCTCAAGAACGAGATCGTCGACCGCGCCAACATCCGCCACGTCACGGGCAACGCGATCGTCGAGCTGGACGACGCCAAAGGCACATTTGTGACCCCCCGCGGCCGGTACGCCATCGACTTGTTTGCGTCGTTCATGCGCCTGCATGGCAAAACGTATGACTACAAGATTTTATACGCCAACATCAGCCGGTGCTTTCTCCTGCAACTTCCCAGCTCGACCAACATGGCGTTTGTGATTTCGCTCGACGAACCGATCCGCCAAGGCAAGCAGAGGTACCCCCACCTGGTGCTGCAGCTCGCGAGCACCCCCGAGGTCCACGTAGATGTGAAGTTGCCGCCGCAAGACCTGGACGCGTTCAACGGGAGTCTGCACCAGCGCATGACGGGGGCCCTGCCGCAACTGGTTGCGACGCTGTTCAAGCACGTTGTGGGCAAAAAGGTGTTTACGAGCGGCTCGTTTTTAACGCACACGCGGACCCGCGCCGTGAAATGCGCGCTCAAAGCCAACTCGGGGCTGCTCTTCCCCCTCGAGAAGTCGTTATTGTTTATCCATAAACCCCCCACGTACATTCGATACAGCGACGTTGAGACCGTTGAGTTTCAGCGCTACACGGGGCAATCAGGGTCGAGCCTCTCGCGCAACTTTGACCTGGTCGTGACCACGCGGCCCGTGGGCGACGACGACGAGCCCCATGACATCATGTTCAGCGCCATCGACCGCCGCGAGTTCCCGGAACTGTCGCAATTCCTCACGGCCAAGAAACTGCGCATTTTGTGTACGCATCAACAGGTCCAGTCCAAGGAACCCCTCGGTCGAACGCGGTACTCGGACGAAGAAGAATCCGTGGACGACGACGAAGATTCGGATTTTTTCGACGCGAGAGTCAACTTGGATGACGATGATGGCAAACATGGAAAAGCCAAAGTCAAGCCCCATGGGAGGGACGTCTTCAAGTACTAACCAAGCGCAACGACGACAAAACGAACGAACGACATGTCAGGCTACGAACGGACGACCGATCAAGGCCAAGATGTGTTTGAATGGCCCAAGCTTGTAGTACGTAGCACTTTTATTTGTTTTCCACCATGTAATTGAGTATACATGTACTGTACCCGTGTCCATCCCATATGGCCATACGGCACAGTGCTCAAAAGGTATACTGTATCGCACATGTGTCATTCAGTACTGAAATTGCCCAGTGGAGGGGGAGTCTGCGTTTTATTCCCGTCTCCATCTTGCGATGACGTTATCCAGAACAACATGACCACATGAACAAGTCATGGTGACATATCATATTGTGAAACAAACACAATGCTAATACAAGGAGGTAACGTTACGACGAAGACGGGCGGCTCTGCTGCTGCTCGAGGTACGCTGTCACATGCACGCGTCCATGGACGTGGGCGGCATTCAACGCCAGGAGAAGGGGGCAATCCAACGGCCGATGCGTCCATAGGTATTGCACGACGTGCAAATGACCCGCGGCGGCGGCGGACGTAAGCGCGGCGTCCGTGCATCCTTCGCGTCGGTTGGTGTGGAGAAATTTCACCGTGTCCAAATGTCCATGCTTTGCAGCTGCATCCATAGCCCATTTCGTGCAGCCTTCGTCGCGGCGTTCATGGAGGAAACGCACGACGTGAAGGTGTCCGCGGGAAGCAGCGCCGCTCATGGCGAGGGTGGTGCATGGGGCCCCGTGGGCATGGAGAAATGTCACAACGTCGAGGTGTCCGTGGAAAGCGGCGCCGTCCAGCGCCGCGGCGGACCACGACGTATGGTGCTCGTGGAGCACCATGAGGGTGGACAGGTGCCCATGTTTGGAAGCTGCATCCACGCCACGGGTGGTGCATCGCTGGGGGGTTGTTGCAAGCAGCATGCGAAGCAAGTCCTGGGCACCGATTCGCGCACAGAAATCCATTGCCGCCGGCGTGAGGACGACACAAGCACGGGAACCGCCGTGAAAGTTGATCCATTGCCGCACGATGCGCGAGTCGCCTTCGAGGATGGCCAAGTGGAACGCAATGTGTGATGTCGGGGAGTCACCGTGGAGACACAGCTCGTTGGTCGACACGAGAGTTGTCGCATCGTCGTCAGGTAGTGCTGACAGGTGTGCCAGGTTGTGGGGAAGTTTCCGGGGAAGATCGTTGGCCGTCGCGGCGAGGGTGTACCGTGGTGGCAGGCGATAGAGACAGGTATTGTCCCAGTCAAGCAAGGGTTGCATCGTTTTGCATTCGGCGTAGCGTTCGAGGAGGTCGGGGGAGAGTCCATGCTGAAATTGCAGCACCGTCGACAGCAAGGGGGCATGAAGAAGTACGTCCACGATGGACGTAGATGGCGGCACTGGCGTCATGGGCAGAAATGTGTCAATGCGCTCGATGTGAAATGACGCGGGAGAGTGAGCAGGACAACCCAGTCTCTGCATAGCATATTGATGGATTGATAAAATTATAAAATTACATTCCATGTTGGAATGTTGGAATAATCTGTCGCACTTGACATTATCGCACTTAAGCGAGAGCCTATAATAGGAAGAGCGACTGCCGCACTCACGCGGAGGAGGAATCGGCCAAGCATGACAGACCGAACGCACGAGTTCAGGACGCTATGCCAGAACCAGATCCCTGTGGTGGCCCAGCCCGTGAAGGTCAGGAAGCAGGTACATATGTAGATGACAGCTGTACTGTTCTTCCCTGTCGACAACTCATGGACCGTGCAACGTGACACAGAAGCCAGCCCTGTCCGCACTGCAGCAGCAAGTCCAATTCAATGCAAGTGCGTCCGACGTATCTAAAGAAGTAAACAAGGTGTCCCAGCGACTACAGCAGCTGACGCTACGTATGTGTACCCTCCCTCGACCAACAACACAACGTTGGCGTTCGTTGACATGTCAGTGCTGATGGTGCGCGACTCTGCGTGCGTACGTAGTGGTGCGGCAGACCAACATGTTCAACGACCCCACGAGCCAAATCAACGAGCTCACGCAGCTGGTGAAGCAAGACATCACGCTTATCCACACCAAGCTCGACGACCTCGAAGTACTCGACCCCGCAGTTCGCCTCCATGTCACAACGTCACCACGTAGATGTTCCAGCGAAGCCACCACGCCGACTATTCGTCGCAGCATGCGGCCAAACACTCGGACGCGATCGTGACCCAAATGAAGAGCACCCTCATGTCCACCACGAAAGGGTTCAAGGACATTTTACAAGTTCGTCAAGACAACTTGCAGCATCAACACGATCGAAAGTCGCAATATGGCCGAGCCACTCCAAGGTATCTACCTACATACCTATCTACCTATGTACCTATCTACCTACCTACGTACCTATCTACCTACGTACCTATCTACCAATGTACCCTTTCAAAACCACGTTGGCTACCATATTCCGACCTTCTACTACGCGGTTACACCCTTGTATCATGTAAACCTCCCGTTGCGTAGCGTGCCGTTGGCGTTCAGCGCGCCGTTGCCGCGTCCAGTGGGCGTCGAAGGCGAAGGGGGAGGCAGCGAGCATGTGCCGCTTATCTCGGCTCAAGTACATTGATATTTCGTTCCTGATATGGCCCGTACTTTTCCCCACAGATGCAACTAGAGCCAACAGCAATTCGTCGTGCCCGAGCAGGGCTATGCCGATTCGCGGGCAGAAGCTGTGTCGAACATCCAGTCGCATATCGTCGAGTTGGGCGAGTTGTTCCAGCGCCTGTCGGTCATGATCAGCGCGCAAGGGGACAGCGTCCGAATGTACGACCGATGCATGCATGCTCCGATGACGTGGCACGCCCACAGACTTTGCATTTACTTGTTGACATGTCGTGACCTGTGACGTGGTGTAGAATCGACGAAAACGTAGACGATGCCGTGGTGAATGTACACCAAGGCACGCGGCAGCTCGAGATGTTCCGCGATAGCCTGAGCAACAGCGCCCTCATGATGAAAGTCGGCGGCATCCTCCTCGTGTTTGTCGTGCTGTTCCTTTTCTTCATGGCCTAATAAAATATATACAAGCAACTCGTACTACTTTCCACGAGCGTTTTGTCGAGATGCCACACTGTACACACACATCGAGTGTATTACTACAACGGCTTAAGTCGACGTCGTCGCCGTGGGAGGAGGGGGGGTGGTGGCCGTGTCCCCAGGAAAGACGATACCGTTTTCTGCCAACCACTTTCGCGCGACAGAGTTCTTGTCGTACAGCACGGTGCCAAGAGCGACCGCGACCACGGTCGCGCCTTGGGCAACCACACGGGCGCGCATGTACTTTTGCTGTGTTCGAGAGTCGCCGCCGACCATGAAGGTGCGCATACCGCCGATCAGAACCACCGTGGTCACCACTGCGCCCAACGGCACGAACGGGTTCTCGCGAAACTTGCGCTTGATCTTGTCCACGCCGCTCTCTTGGTTCATGGTGTCCTTCTTTGCTTGGTCAACAACACCAAAATGCAGAAAAAAGCGCCTTCAAAGGCATATACACTATTTCATGTTAATACCACAAAACAGAATATAGTGTAACCCGCCACGTCATATTTTTATACTGGCGATGCGCGAAAAAAGGTTTTTTATACTGCAGCCAAGGCGACGGCCCCCCAAAAAAGCAGAAATAATGTATTTAAATACACAAAAACCCAGGGCTGACAGTATAAGGGCGTACGGGATTAATTGTGGCAGGTTTTGACCCCACTGGGTGGCTGAAAAGCCACACCGCCTGCAGTCATTTCGCGTCTTTCAGGAATTCCTTCCCGCAACATGAACTCTCTGCGTGTGATCGTCGCCAAGCAAGCAGTCCGCTCCTTCAGCACGGCCGCGGTGTTCGAGCCCGTGTTGACCACGAACTGGGAACCCCTTCGCTCCAAGTTGAGCGATCCCCGTGCCCGTCAATCGTTGGACAGCTTGAAGCAAACCCACAACAACATCTTGGTCGAAGGCTTGTTGTACCAGCACGAACCGGAAGCCATCAACTTTGGTCATTACAGAGACTTGATCAAGAACAAGGACTTGGTCGATGCGTTGGAGGAAAACTACCGCACGATCGCGTACCCGGACATCCAGCCGAGCGACTGCTACACCCCTGGCCGCGACTTGGAAGGCGACTTGAAGCCCACGTTTGCGCGCTTGGACGCGGAAGTGCAAGACTCGGTGGAGCGCATCGAAGAATTGAAGGAATTCATCTCGTTGTTGGAGCAAACCCGCACCACCAAGGACACGTCCGTGGACGAAGTCGCCGCGTTGCACCCGGAAATCGTCGAAGAAATCGATGACGAAATCGCCGCGTTGGACTGGGAAAAGGATGCCCAAAACTAAACTAAGACGAGGACAATACACCGTCTCCTTGTCGCAGGGTAGCAACGCGCGATCTCGTTGTCACACATTAGCATCAACCAACATGCAACCATTTGTCTTGTACGATCATCCTTCCGTTCATCTCTCGACGCCCAACCAGACAGCGTGGCATGACCAGTTGAGCCGACCCCATGGACATTCCTATGACGAAGGGGGTAGCGAAGTGTAGTCGCTGTCGTCGCCGTCCTAGTGCAAATCAGCGGCATCGCGCGCCATCGACGTTCATGTTCACACACAAAGGTTTTGCGTCCATCTTATGCTTGCTGCGCAAACCTCGCCATGATGGTGGGTGAGGTTGATTGGGATCCGCGGGTACACGACATACTGATGTCGACCCGCAACTCAACCGCGCACTGACGGCCCTCGTTGAAGGCACCGCGCCTTTGTCTATTCCGTCAATCACACATTCCATAGAAACCTCATGCTACGGAAGCCACCCTTGTCGCCCCAGGTGATTGTATATCCTCATGATCTGTCGGCGAATACGTCCGGATGAGCAGTTGTGATAAGTTTCATTATCTGCACGGGAGAGCCCACTTGCCACACAACCCATGGAAAACCATCGAACTCGGAAGCGTTCTTTAGGTGGATGCTACCGTCGTGGGTTGATTACAGATGACGCGTCGTCGGATCTACTCTTCCCGGACCCGGTATGCTTCAGGCACTCGAAACATCTTGCGAGGCTTTTCGGCAAACACTTGGTCCACACATGCGTTGTACGCTTCGAGTTGCCGCGCGCAAGAGTTGATGCCTTTCCTGCCCGCATCCGGGTCGCTCACTCCTTCGGGCTGCTTTCCATGCTTGTACAGACACGCGAAGAAGGGTTCACCAACGGACTTGCATGCTTTGGGGACGCGTGGAAAGTGCGGGCTCACGCGCAGTGCTGGCGCTGCCCCATCGGCCGTTGTGTCCTGCGGCATCTTGTTTTTGTGTGCACGGAAACTGGTGTTGAGGTAAAAATAGCCAATCAGAACACCGTACAAGATTCAATCGACTTTGATTGGCTAAAATAAAGTGCCCGCACTTCCACCACCACGCTTGGCCACAAGCGATTCATCGTCATGTTCTACCGGCCAGGCACGACGACGCAGATGACGCGTGCTGTCCAGCGGGCGCTGAATCGAGGCTCTCAACGGTCATCGTCTAGCGCGTTCCGAAGGATGCGCACGAAGCATGTAGTCTTAGAATCGGTACAAACTCGCGTTGAGAATGGGATGGTGGCGACAATGTGACAATTTGCCCTCTGTAGGCGGTGCGACCGGCGCTCGTGGCGGGTATCCCAATGCTTGTTGACGGTGCATCGTACATGACGGACATCAAGACCATGTTCACTTGCTTTGAAGAAGACGACGACGGAACGTACGTCCTTTATGTCTGCATCTCCCTGTCCATGAACGATAGGTTGTCATGTGTCGATAGCTAAAATGTCCCCAGATAACACCCTGCTGCCGTCCACACAGTACATAGTATAAGCAGCAGCACAAGTCACCACCAGTCGTCAGTCGTCCATGTCAACAAGTCCCATCGAGTTTACCTCCGCGTAATGAATGGAACATGGACATACATGATGATGATCAGGCGTCATGGACGACGACTTTCTCGTTCGTTTCCTCTTGTATCTCTCCCCTAGTCCGATCAATGTAGCCTACTTTAAGCGCTTGGGGGCGGCCGCCACGACCCGCGTGAACGCGTCGGCATGGAACGTCTGTTTGCATACGGGGCATGGGATGGTTTTATCTGGTAGTTGGAGCTTTTGCCAGCATCGGACGCAGCAAAGATGGCCACATGGCGGCGCCGACGTTGTCTGGACAATGTCAAAGCAAATGCTGCACTGGGGATTCACCACTGTGGCCGCCGGTTGGGAGGCCGCCGACGACGATGACGGCCGCTTGCGCTTGGACGAAGACGTTGGCGCCGCCATGGAAGACGTGGACGACGAGGAGAGTTGATTGAGCTGGTCCATGGCATGGGCCACCGACCGCGGCGGAAGCATGGGTGCAATGTGGCGGCGGAGCGACGGATACGCGTCAAGCAGGGCGTCGATCTCGGGCAAATAGCGCCTAGGGTCTCGCATGTACGAGATGAACGCTGTCACTTGCGTCGGCGTCATGAGCTGTCTGGTTTCATGGACCAGTAGCTCCAACTTTGTCGACTTGGCTGTGACAGGGGGTGGAGGTTTTCGGGTGGTGGGTAGGGATGGAAATGGAGGACGCGGAACTGCTTGGAGCTTGGCGGGCGGGACGAACGACTGGCCGTCGCCTATCGGCACTTGGCTCGCCAGCACGTCGGACGGCTTGGACGTGATGAAGGGTTTGCTGGATGACGACGACGACGATGCAGGTGTTGGGATCGACGAGGACGACGCCGGCGGAGGTCGCTGGAAGGTGTCGAGCGCTTTCACTTTGGCATCGACGGCGGCAGTGGCGGCGGCATGCTCCTTGTTTCGTCGAAAGAATCGCGTGAGACCTCCGTGGGCTTCGCCTACATGTGAGTAGAAAATCGAATGAAGTGCATGGATTGGAGAATATCCTAGCCAATCAAAGTGTGCCACAACGAGACATTTCAACCAATCAGTGATTAGTATAGTTTATCCCAGTAGTTTGGTAGACTCAATATGGACGAATAATGAATGAATATATGGAGATATCATAATACCGTAGGACGCTGTGACGTGGACGTGGGGCTGCAACCACTTGGAGAGGGTACCCTTTTGCTGGTTGTACGCAAACCGTTCGTCCAATAGAATGATCGCGCCTGGTTGAACCATGATATATATATATATATATATGACAGGTCACTCGATAACGTCATTCACGTGTACCGTAATCATGGCGATGTCGAATCACACGACCCACGGCCTGGTTCACTGCGCGCGATGCTTGTTGGACGTACCATTGATTCCCAGTCAATTTCTACAAACATAGTTTAGGATGCCACAGAAAATGTTATACCAAATAATATTCGGAAAGAGAATTAATTCCCTTTTCAAATGGAAAAAGGTGGAGAAAAATAACAGAAAAATATGTTTTTTCTAAAAAAAATTTTCTCCACCTACATGATCCGTGGATACCATGATGAACTATTGATATTAATAGAATATCATGTTTGTAAAAGATGGACAGTTGCAGTGTGAAACGTGTTTCTGTCAAAAAATAGTAAAAATTCGATGGATTATGTCACTTTATACATGTCAGATTTGGTAGCCACAAGTACAAGTCGTAAAAAAATATTTATTTTAATAAAAATAAATAAAAATAATAATAGTCGTAATATTTCTAAAAAAGTTGTAAAAAATCGAAGTGCTTTCTGACATGTTCGTTGTGGCAGCCAGAGTGGCGTGAACGTAATAAATGTTGTGTCACAATTAGGGGTAAAAAGGTGAAGACTCCTGAGTCCATCAAACATAAAGCCAAACTTGGTTTGTAGGTGTTCTAGTAGTATAGATTTATAAATATAATACACGGAGACACAAACTAATCGATGATACACACACGTGATGTTTGTATTGTCGATTTGATACAAATTTGGGGAGGGGGAGCAATCGAATCGCGCCGACGAAACCGATCCACAATCGATCTGATTGGTTGAATTTCATTGAGAAGGTTTTGATTGGCTAATAATTTTGAGCTCATCTGAGGTAGCCAATCAAATCGATTTAAATTCCAACGAGAAACCACAACACAATGAAATTTCACTCGAAAGCACAATATGGACAAATATAGTTTTCATCACCAGTTCATGCGGCGGCACGACTTGGTTGTCTAGAAATGCTTTTTTTAGCACAATTTTCGGGTCTTTCGTGGGGGGAAATGGCAGGCCCGTGATGACAACGGCGCGGCCGTTCTCGTCGGAAAAGTCGATTCCTTCGCTGACTTTGCCTCGGCACACGGCAAAGAAGATGGCGCCGGCGGTGGGACGGTCCCGAATCGCGTCGTGATAAGCTTGGACGACGCCCGTAAACTCGACGCGGTTCTTGGGCTCGACAAAGATCGTCTAAACACCAAAATACACTTGATAAACATATTGTGAATATTCGCCAGAAACGTGCAAAATTCGCGTGGTTTATCAATATATTGAATAATCATGCCGAAGTTGTGATTGGTTGAATATACTTGTCCTCCTTTCGAGCCAATCAAATCCACTCAAACATGGATTATTAGCCAATAATAGCGTATACCACAATATCGAAACTCGATAAATCGTGCTTTAATTTGCCACTTTTGAAGGCAACAAATCGAGCAAAGAAGTATGATTTGCTTAAAAAAGAATAAACGTTGCAATATGATTGGCTACAAATTCAATGTGATTTTATATGATCCATGCAACCAACCGCGGGAGGGAATATTTGAGTGTGCGACGACATCGATACATTCCGTACCTTGAGTGCCCCCAGGCGGTCCCAGATGGACCCTGTGGTGCCAGTGAGCTGTTGCCACTGACCCGTGCACTGGTCCAAGATCGAGTAGGAAGGAAAAAACACAAGCAGCCCATTTGGCACGAGCCGCGTGATGTTGACGAGGGTATTGCCGAGCTCGGCGGCATAGTCGGGGGAGCTGCGGCTCTCGTAGCTCGCGTTGAGTTTCTTGCCAGTCACACCTGTGCCCACGACACCGACCCATACTTGGGACGGATCGATCACGTGTGAGTTTTCTAGCTGAATAGGAAACGGAATCCCGAGCTCCTTGACGGTGGTGGCCAACGGCGACAGCGTCCCACTACACCATCCACCTCGTGTTAGGATGGGTACAACTAGTACTACTAGTACGATATATATAGTAAGAAGTGTAGTACTCGTATGGCCCAACTTGGCCAATTGGCGAGAATGCATTGTTGACATGATTATTGCCAAGACGGCGAGCAACGCCGTTTGATTGGATAAAATCAAAATGAAAGTTGGCATATGATTGGCTAAAACGAAGGATTGTTTGTCTTTTATTCCAACGAGATCCCTTCAATTTTGATATATATGTATATATCATATGTCACAGGTCCGTCAACCAACAACCAACCCGAGAAGTAACAATAGGAGTGAGTCATCGACGCACACATTCATATATATATATATATATATATATATATATATATATATATTGTTTATGTGTTTATTCGAAACTAGCAAATGTACCAAAGAATCATCGGCTGAAGTATATTTAGCCAATCAGATTGCAGGAAATCCTCACCATTATCGAATTAGTGTGATATGCATGAAATTAGTGTGCTTCCAAACACCTTTTTATATACAAACTTCAGTACAAAGAAGAATCGATCGATGAATTTGGCAAAGAATCAGCACAAAAGTCTGCCAAATTTTGAGTAAACGACAATATACCTGGTGAGGATGATATTATGCACTTTGTTTTCCATGATCTCGTGCATGGCAACTCCAGGATGGAAGCACCAGTAGTGAAACATGCGCTGGGTGGATGACACTGGGCGTGAGTAGCTGGACCGCCCTCGACCTCCTGGCGCCGGTTGTATGCGTCTACACAACGGGGGCGCTTTATAGCTTCGAGTATATATATATATATATGTCCATAAAAGAACAAGAGTCTATAACGATTTGTAGTACACGATAAAAAACAGAGTTTTCTAATTTAATTAAAAAAGATGTTGAGAATGTATTTTTTAAACATATGAACCGAGTCGATATATACTATTACAATAGTATGGATGGATGCCATCATGTCTGTTCTACTCGTACACACACCCGACAGCTCAATGACAAATATTATACTTCACCAAATACGCAGCAGCACGTTTAACAAGAACGAAGCACAAATATACTTGCAGCTAATCCAGCAATTATGAAATGTTTCAGTATATTATGTATATAATATTCAAAAAGAAAGGTAGATATCAAGTCGATCCGGTGAAGAAATGCCAGTTTCGAGCCCACGATCAGCCCCAATCAAGAAACAAAGAAATATCAAAGATATCAATCTGAAGTCGATAAAGGCAGCTTTCGAGACCAACACGATTATATATGTGTATATATATATATATATGAATATATATATCAACACGCACTCTTCTTGGATGTGGACGCGATACTGCTTGGCCATCTAGACATGATATATTATCTTTCGATCGAATTTGGGCTATTTATAATATATCATGATGTACCACGTGGTGGTGCTCCTTGTCTCGGTAGATTGTGCGCAGAAACGTGAGCAACTGGTCCAGCTTGGAGTTGCGAGGGTTGCTCTGCGAGTAGTCGCTCATGGCTTCGATCACTTGCTCTGTGATCGTCACGACCATTGGCGCCGTCTCAAATGTAATGTTGAACTGGTTGAAAAATTCGAAAATGAACGCCCCCGGCTATATATACAATTCTATTAGTATATCCGATGAAGAAATACAATATATATATATGTATAATATAATTTATATAAATATAATGTATATAAATATAATATATATATATATATATATAATATAATTTATATAAATATAATGTATATAAATATATAATATATGATATATAAATATAATATATATAAATATATGATATATGATATATAAATATATAATATATAATATATATATATATATATGATAAGTTAGTTACCTTGGTGCACCCACCCTTGTCGTTGAGGGGAAACGTATTGAGACCGGTATGTATTTCCATGAGTAAACTCTTGAGTGTCTGGGCCGACTAGTACATCATCATCATCATCACGATCATTACAATATAATTAGTGTGTTCAAGAGATCAACATCTTGCCATCATATAGTGTGTCAGAAGCACACCATATTCGTAAATCGAATATAGTGTCGTCATATTGTTCTGGTTCTTCTAAACAGGAGCGACATGGAGAATGCATCGACGCAACCAAATAACGTACACAAGAATCGGAAGAGTAGGATTTAGCCAATCAGATTGCAGGAAACCACCATCAACATGTAATTAATGTGTGACTTGAATTAGTGTGATTTCAAAACCCACAGGACCCAGTTTTACATACAAAATTCAGTACAACGAATCGATCGATTTTGCAATTCGGCAAGCCCAAAACTCCAAATATTGGGTAAAAGGACAATACTACTACTCTACTTACTACTCCAAACGTCATCACGATATCGACGTTGCGTCTTTTAAATTGGCGCGTTTCTCTATTTATATTCGACATATATATATATTGAGAAAAAAAAAATCAAAGTTGCAAAACCTACACAAGCCAAAAATAATCGTTTTGACTCGACCATCTCTATTGAAACAAAAATATAAAAAAACTAATTGACACCCTGAAAACTAATAACTATCCAATTCGACCAACCGTACCTGCGAATTCAAATACGTGTCCTCGCCCGGCTGGATGCGGCCGTTCACGAGCAGGCCATGGCATTCGTCGACTTCTTTGATGCATCCTTGGACATCTAGCGACGACAAACTGTACGACGCCGCCTCCGTAGCCACCGATTCCTACCCCATTTATTGCAATTACTCATATTAACCACCCCATTGCAATTGCTCATATAAACCCCATTGCAATTGCTCATACAACCCCATTGCAATTGCATCATTTCAATGGTACCACGTTGTGCGCTTCGTCGAAGATCAGCACGGCATTTTCTAAAGTGACGCCGAGCGAGTTGCGCACGAACGGCTCGATCAAGTAATTGTATGGCATAAACACAAGGTCTGCGGCCACGAGCATGTCCCGGCTCAGGTAAAATGGACACACCTATGACGTTATCGGACATGTCATACTCGAATATTGGCCAATCGATTATTCGAAATACTGCACGATATTGATGATATAAGTCCACCCCACCTAGCCAATCAAATCACCCGCTCTGGCGACTTTCTGCCAATCCAAAAGTAAGTACGGATTCGGCCACACTGGATATATATACATATATATATATATACTAAACACTGTATACTCTATAGAGTCATACTCGAATATTGGCCAATCGATTATTCGAAACACTGCAGGATATCGATGATATAAGTCCACCCCACCTAGCCAATCAAATCACCCGCTCTGGCGACTTTCTGCCAATCCAAAGTACGGATTCGGCCACACTGGATATATATATATATATACTAAATATTGTATACTCTATAGAGTGTACATATAAGCTGCTTCCATCGGGTCAACGATTTGAATACGGCAAACGTACTTGAGAATGCCGTAGCCAATCAAATTACACTGTTGAGATAGTTGAACCAATCAACGATCATCACAGTTTGACCCAGTGGTGATTAACCAACATGTAGAGCTTAAAATTTGTATACAATGCATTGAAGAAGGTAAAAAAATCTGACACAAATCCGAGGCTTGAATCAACTGCCCAGTCCAAATTGCACCGATCATGACAATATATTCGGACGCAGTGGATTTGAAATATTGTCCTTGTGACAGTTGAGGGAAAAGTATTAATTATATTGTTTATGTGTTTATATATATTCTAAATGTAGACTGAATCGGCACAAATATTAAATGTATAGAACAAATAATCATCGGCAAAAAGCATTGAGCCAATCAGATTGCATCAATCTATCATTCGTGCGTGACGTTCACAATTAGTGTAATACCAATCACCACAATACAACACTATTTACCTACAAAGCAACACTATTTACCTACAAAGCAACACTTCAGTCCCACGAATCGATAGAATTGGCGAATCAGGAGCCCATAAGTTCAAATTTTAGGTACAACGAAGGACAGTTTGTTACCTCGCGCCCTTTCATCGTCGTCACCAGCTCTTCAATGTCCAAAATCGGCAACGCCGCCGCGTGCCGCTTGGATTTCGCCTGTCGGTCGTACCCGGCCTTGTACGTGCATCTACCCACGTGATAACGTCATTATTTGAACTGTGGAATGATCACGTCACGGAGTACTGTTGAGCGCGCACGGCTTGGCGGCACGTGTGGTTTTGCTGTGTCCCGCGCATCTGCGAGACCTCTGGATGGACGCACAAGTGTTCTCGGGAGCCAAGGATGGCGACTTTGGGCTTGTACGCGGTCTGCTTGAGCTCCTTGACGACTTGCTTGAGCTGGGAGTGTGTTCGCGATGCATAGATGATCTTGGGCAGTTTGTCCGCGACACCCTGGTCATCGTTGTCGTCGGTATCGTCAGGTCTGCTGGTGGTAGTTTCGTATTGGACTTTCGGCTTGTTGCTTGCTGCTCGCAGTTGTTTGAGACGATGGAGACGCCACGCCAGCGTCGCGCACAGCAGGCACAGCGTCTACTCCACCATCGCACGGATCATTGCACATGGTTGGTTGGACCATCCATCTTGGTCGACACGTACCTTTCCGGTTCCGGTGGGGCTCTCCAGCAAAGCATTCTGCTTGAACTCGAGGGACTGGATAACCTTCTCCATGTACACAACTTGGGAGTCATACGGCGTGAAGGGAAAGCTCACGGGTATGCCGCCGATCTGGAGCGTTGGCATGTTGGTTCCGCTTTTGAAAAACGGAGGGAAATCTCCGAGTGGAATCATAGAATACACGCAAACAATTGGATATAATTCAACCAATCAAGCAATTTTTTGTCTACAAATTCAACCAGTAAGAATTAACAAATCGAGATAAAACTGAATAACTGAGGTATTATTTACAGTATCAATATTGTCGATTTGATACAAATTTGGGGAGGGTGCAATCGAATCGAACCGATCCACAATCGATCTGATTGGTTGAATTTCATTGACAAGGTTTTGATTGGCTAATAATTTTGAGCTCATCGGAGGTAGCCAATCAAATCGATTTAAATTCCAACGAGAAACCACGGCACAACACGAAATTTCACTCGAAAGCACAATACTCGCTAGAGCTTTGGTTGAACGTGGTTGCAGGAGTTGATACTGTGCTATTTAATCGGTTTGAAGGTAACGTTGCAATCCATACACATTATTTTTCTCTTTTGCACAGTACTAACATGCACACTAAATAAGTCGATTGCAATCGTAAGTACTGTGGTCATGTGATCAACCAAGTATGTACCTGAAACTCCTATACGCTATTTACTCGAAATACTGACGGCAGGCAGTACCGAAGGTGGCCAGTACCAATGTAGAACTCGTTGAAAGCAATTGAGGCATCGCAACCAATTACATACCATTTTAAACCAATTACATACCATTTTATACCATTCGCCTACATACTCAGGTGTTGGTTGCTCCAATAAGCGTACCAGTGTTCAAGAGCTACGCCATGACCGACGACAGTCTTCGAGCGTGTGTGTGTTGAAAGAGATGATTGGCATCGTCATGTCAAACATGCAATGCTTCAATCCAAACCCTGCCGACACCCAATTGTTACATGAATTTATCCGTCTGAACAAGTGGCAATCACAAGCTATTTGGGTGTCTTCCATCCGACGGCGGCGTCTTGCCCTCGCCTAAGTGTGCGGACCAAATTGATCCGATGCGACAGAATGGGAAACTTCAGACGCAACTCCACTGGATGTTCTAGCTGCGTCTGCCAGGCGGGAGCACATGCTCTATAGTGTCAACGCCGCCCAGTCCACAGGAATAGGATTCAGTTCGGGATGGCTTTGGGATACCTTTGCCTTCAGCCACTAGACGACGGACGTCCACTTGGCCGCTGTGCTCGTGGTGATCAAATACAAGGGGGAAGATGACACCTCTGCCTTCAGCCTCGAGACGGGGCGGACGCCCACTTGGCCGTTGTGCTCGTGGTAGTCGAACACAAGGGGGGCGATGGCTATGGCCACCTGATGGTGTTCAGGGGGGCTGGCCCCTCGAAGGACACGGCCAGCGGTAGCAACTGACGATAGGGCGGCAAAGGTAGCAGTCAATCCCACGATGCCTTTCATGTTGATGGGGTTGTTGGGGACAAGTGAAATGAGTTTATGACCATGGCGAGTTGGTTTTGTCCAGAGGGGAGACCCTTCAATGTTGAATCTACAAGCCAGGATACTGACGTTGGAAAGAGTAAGCAACAAACACACTTTTGTTAGATCGCCACAACTAGGCAGTCTAACTTGTTTACCTTGACGTTGCGAAATAGATGAATAATTTCTCAAGTTCATTCACGCCGGTGGCTACTGTAGCCTCGGGAGAGTGAACGTCTACGAATCGTTATCTCTTGTACAGTGTTATATCTCTATTACTGAAACGATATAAGGATTGGAACAGTACACGGGGCATGCTACTATCGGCTCGCCCTTTTGATTGTCACAAAGGCGATGTTGGCTGGAGTCGTGGAAATCTTGTCCTAGTGTGCACTGTGGTCGTCGCAAGGAGGGATAATTTGGAATACTTTTATCGTTGAATGGTACTAAGAGACACAGTCTTTCAAAGTTATTATCTCTCAACTACATCCCTTCCCACACAAATGTGTCCTTTGGCGGATACATGTCGTCGCTACGCTTGCGGGATCTCCGAATCGTTCGAGGGGAAGGGGGGGGAGTTGTCATTCGAATGAGGGCGTCCACAAGATCGTGCCCCTCCACCAGCTGAAACAACCGGGCTCACCACAGAGAGCCATGTAACGTTGCAACCAAATTTTAACGTGTGGATGTAATCGCATACAATTCTATAAGGTTTAGGGACGGGACTATATTCTCTCCAACGGTTGCTCAAACACATAGGGCATGAACGACCTGGATGGGCAGTTGACTGCTATTGTCGTAACGTTCGTGGTCAAAACTGGATGGTGGTTTGCCTTATCCTGGAGCGACGCATTTCGGTCACTTCTGTCTTATCATACGGCCATGGATGGCATGCCGTAAAATGACATTTTACAAGTGCAAACCACAAGACGACGCTTGATTGAGTTTTGAACTGGAATCCATGAACGCGACTGCGTACAACCTACCTTCCATTTCACCACAAGCACGCACACATGGATGAAGGAAAGAATTTTTGTCGTGTTTGCAATATCATACTAGTACTCTCTTACTCTGAAGCCTCTGATTATACAATGTACCCATGGGGGTGCTGTGCTGACCAAGTCGACGCTTTAGTGTAAAGTTGGCGGTGGTATTATTATCACAAAGGACAAAAAGTAGTCGCATCGCCTAGTGACTCAGTTCAATCTCAAATGTCAAACCATCCCATATTAAGGTTGATCCTGGGAATGGCTACGAGTCGCATCGAGTTTGGCAACACTAAGCGAGGGGCGAATTTTGTCCACATTGAACAATCACATGCAGAATAATGCAGCGACACGTCGATGTGGTGAAACCTGGTGCTGCTCGTGTACCTACTCTATTTCATGCTATGCGTAGTCGAAACAATACTCAAAACACATCGTGTATTCCATCCACTTGAAAATGTGGACTTATCAAGCTCTAAAGGGCAAATGAACTCTTGGGCGATCACGAGCCAGACTTGAGTGGTCTTCTAATCGAATTCGATTTGGCCGCGACCATCGCCAAGCGCACCGACGGCATCATGAGACGCCTTCCTTTGGTCGGCAGAAATCGCAGACGGCAGCACGGGCACAAAGATGATGTTGTCCAACCCAACACCAACCGACGCTTGACGTTGGTCAAGACTGTGTTTGGAGCGAATAGTGAGGGTATCTTGACCAAATTGATCCAACGCGACAGAATGGGAAACTTCAGAGGCAACTCCACCGAGTGTTCCAGCCGCGTCCGCCAAGCGGCGATCAAGCACATACACAATAGTGTCCACGCCCACTCCACCGGAATAGGATTCAGTGTGAGATGGCTTTAAGACGACACCTCCGACTTCAGCCTCCAGGCGACGGACGTCCACTTGGCCGTTGTGCTCGTGGTGGTCCAACACACGAGGGGAGATGACACCTTTGCCTTCAGCCTCGAGACGGCGGACATCCACTTGGCCGTTGTGCTCGTGGTGGTCGAGCACAAGGGGGGAGATGACACCTCTTCCTTCAGCCTCCA